GGACCAACAATTCCAAGACCCACAGAAGGACACCCTGTAAAATGGAGCCGCCAAGCCCAGGCAGCACCAGGGGGGATTGGAAGGCCAGCCTAAGACTGATGGGGCTGGGCTGGGGGCATCCTACACAGCAGGTCTGCAAGCTGCAGAGTTTAGGTTGGGGCCTGGGGGAGAATCTTGAGGAAGGAGGGGGGTAACAGGACTCCTGAATCTGACTTGAGTTTGAATCCAGAGTGACTGAGAAATTACTGCATCGAACTAGACCTCCGCTACAGTGAGTTGCGGACAATGCAGGGCTCAGAGTCTGAAAATCAAAATGAGCTATGGGACACATAGGGCTTTTTTAGTACCTTTTTTGTACATCTGTATAATTTGTACCTACGAGTCATGCTGTAACATGTATCCTAATTGGATACAAGTATATGTGAAATGATTATGAGATAGCTTTTTACCCTTTTTTTTTTTTGGAACAAAACTACAGACAAACTTACTCAAAAGTAGAGATCACAGAGTTATGAACTCCTGTATCAGTAAGGGTCTCAGCAAAAGATAGACGTGATCACATTAGGATAATTTGATCAAAGTTTAAAGTTATGGCTGGGGGATCCCTGGGTGGCGCAGCGGTTTGGCGCCTGCCTTTGGCCCGGGGCGCGATTCTGGAGACCCGGGATCGAATCCCATGTCGGGCTCCTGGTGCATGGAGCCTGCTTCTCCCTCTGCCTCTGCCTCTGTCTCTGCCTCTCTCTCTCTCTCTCTGTGTGACTATCATAAAATAAATAAAAATTAAAAAAAAAAAACCTTATGGGAAAAAGAAAAAAAAGACCAAAATTAAAGTTATGGCTGGGGTATGGGGAACCAGACTGAGGGGATAGACCCAGGCAATTGTTACCTCCCTGATGCCCAGAGAGACCAGAGGAGGAAGTGGTTCTGGAGACCCTTGCAGGGTGTGGGGAGAGGGACCGTGATCTCTGGTCAAGAGATACAGCCAGCCCTGGTAGCAACTCAGGAGGGAGTGTGAGGTGGGGTAAAGATCTCCTCTCACTCTCTTCTTTCCCTCCTTTGCCTGCTAGTTAGCCAGGGGGCAAGGAGCCATAGATGTCATCCACATGGTTTGGCCTCTTGGGTTTCAGATCAGGATGGGGAGAGTAGACGGACAAATGGAAAGTATATGGCTTAATCTCATATACCAACACCCAGTTGCAACAAGTGTATTAGGTTTCTATTACCTATTTTTTTTCTAATACCTATTACCTATTCTATTACCTATTATTTCTATTATATTACCAGACATTTTGTGACTGCAAACCCACCATGGAAAATCTCGCAGTTGAGCTCAGCATGCCTTAGGCGGGTCCTCTGCTGAGAGTTTCTCAGGGCTGCAATCAAGGGGTCTGTAGAGCTGCACCCTTTTCAGGACACTCTGGGAAGAACCCGCTTCCAGGTCAATTCAGGTTGTAGCAGGATCCAGGTCCTTGTGGTTGTAGGACTGAGGTCCCAGCTTGCTGACTGTCGGCCAGGAGTTGTTCTGAGCTTGTAGAGGTAACCCTGCTTCTTGGCTTATAACTGCCTTCCTCCATTTTGAAGACACTGATGGTCAGTCAAGTCCTTCCCAGTTTTCAGCCTCATCTTGTCTGCTTTGTGTTTTTGTTTTAGTTGACTCTTCTGCCTTCCTCTTCTGGCTGTAAGGGCCCACCTGCATTGTCCAGGATAAGGTATCTCCCTGTTTTAAGCTGCTAACAACTTTAATTCTATCTGCAAAGTCCTTTCACAGAAATATGTAGACTAGAATCTTGGAATCTTTAGAATGTAGCCAACTACTACAGTGATCAGCATTTTGCCACTCTTCGGTCACAAACTTTTTTCTTTTTTTAATTACAGCGATTTAAGAAGCTGTAATTCACATGCCATACAATTCACTCATTTAAAGTGCACACTCAACAGTTCTTGACCTTCCCAATTTTTAAAAGTTGTGGTAAGATATGTATGTAACATGAAATGTGCCATTTTAACCATTTTTGAGCATGCGATTCAATAGCATTGAGTACATTCACAATGCTGTGTGACCATCACCAGTATTTACATCCCAAACTCTTCATTACCCTAAATAAAACTTTGAAACCATTAAGTGATAACTCTCTGTTGACGCTGCCCCCAGCCCTGGTGACATCTCATCTACTTTTGGCCTCTGTGAATTTGCCTAAGTGAGGAACCTCATATATTTGTTCCTTTGTGTCTGGCTTATTTTGCTTAGCATAATGACTTCAAATTTCATCTATGTTGTAAAGTGTTGGAACTTCTTTCCTTTTTACGGCTGAACATTCCATTGTAGGAGAACAACACATTTTATTTATCCTTTCATCTGTCAATGGGTACTTGGGCTGTTTCTACTTTTGGTTATTGAGAAAATGTTGCTAGAACACTGGGAGCAAGTATCTGTTAGAGCCCCCACTTTCAATTCCTTTGGGTATATAGTAGAAGTGGAATTGCTGGATATAATTTTATCTTTAAGTGTTTTTTTTTTTTTTTAAGTGGGTTCCTTGCCCAATGCAAAGCCCAGTGTGGGGCTTGAACTCACAACCCTGAGATCAAGACCTGAGCTGAAATCAAGAGTTGAATGCTTAACTGACTGGGCCACCCGGGTGCCCCTATATTCAACTTTTTGAGGAGGAGCCATAAAAGTGTCTTCCGTGATGCTGTGACATTTTACATTCCATTGGCAATGCATAAGGATTCCCCTTTTCTAAATCCTCTTCAACACTTGTTATCTTCTGGGGTTTTTTGTTCTTGCTGTTTACTTGTTGTTGTTGTTTTTTATAACCATCCTAATCGTTGTGAAGTGATATCTAATTGTAGTTTTGACTGGCAATGCCCTGATGATTAATGATGTCAAGCATCTTCTCATGCACTTATTGGCCATTTGTTTATTTCCTTTGAAAAAGTGTTTATTCAAATCCTTGGTCCATTTTTGACTTGGCCAGTTTTTTTTTAATGATCATTGTTGAGTTGTAGTTCTTTATATATTCTGGAAACCAACCTTTATTAAATATAGGATTTGCAAATACTTTCTCCTCTTCCATGGGTTGATTGTCTTTCCACTCTCTTGACTGGGTCATTTGATGCACAGAAGTTTTTATTTTTGATGAAGACCAGTCTGTTTTGTTTTGTTTTTCCTTTTGAGGTTTGTGCTTTGGGAGTCACATACAAGAAATCACTGCCAGATCTAATGCCATGAAGATTTTTCCATGTGCTGGCCCCCCAATAATTAAAAACAGCAGTCAGTAATCAGAACACACAAGCCAATTTTTGGAGGATAGGGTTGTTATTGCCCACACTAGCTCTGGCAAGCCACCCTAGGAACTTGACCTGCTGTCCCCACAGCCCCACAGCAGAGCTGCATGATAGGGAATGGTTGTCATGATTAAGTGAAAGCTGAAATTGGCCACAATTCAGCAGCCTCTTCATCAAGCTCTCTCTTGGGTGCAGCAAGTGTTCTAACTCCATCTCGAGCTCCAAAGTAGTTTATGCAGACAGCTCCTGCCAGCTCAGTTTTTTCTTGCTTTGCTAGAGATGTATTCCTGGAGCATCCCACTGTATCACCTTCCCCTGCTTAGGTAACTAGGTGTTATGACCAGAATGAAACTCTGGAAGTTTTCAGTTGTCCCCTTAGCCAGTTCCATGGATGCTGTCATTTCCCAAGTGGGCTCTTATGCACCAGTTCCCTTCTGTCCACCACAGCAGCTCTGAGCACCTCACTCCTGCAACTTCCGAGCCCCCTTTACACTGTCCAAGTTAGAGCTCTGTCTCCATCCCACCGAGGGGCCAGTGTGGAACAGACCAGGGCTCTCAGGCCATGGCAGTGCCAGAACGTGTCTTTGTTTCTCCCAGAGGTGAGGGAGAAAAACACACCTCATTGTCACAACTGAGTTAGGAAACTCTGTTGCTGCAGTTGAAATACATTTTTCTGAAAAATGAAAACAATGTCCAAAAGGGTAGTTTGGGGTCTCTGATGGAATGATTTCCTAAGTCAACGAGCCCCTAAGTCTTTGGTGGGAAACCAACCGCCCCTCATAACCTTGGGGTATCCACAGGGTGTGCACAGTATTAAACTGCTATCTTCTCGTTGCGAATCAGCCCCCAACTATAAATTTCTCCATTCAAAGAAGATAAAGATTTTTTTAACAAAAAAATTGTTTAATTTTCTGCACTGATATTTGTACAACTGTAAACTCAAGGAATCATCTGATACTTGTATAAACCTGGGGGAATAGTTAATAAGCACCTTCATTCAATGGTTTCCACAGTTTAAGAATTGACCATTTGAAAACTTGTAGAATGAATCTAGTAAAATGAATAAAAGTTATAAAATTATATAAAATTATGACAAACATTTGTTATAGAGGGCTCGATATGGGATGATAAATATAAAAAAAGTGAAACTAATTCAGGGGGCTGGGCTGGATAGAAGACCCATGTGTTCCCCAAATCTCGTGACTCTCGGGGATATATTTGGCTCTCAAAACAAGCTCCAATTATTCAAGGTAAAGGGTCTTTCCTGATCCAGGTGCCATTGGGATGCCAAAGCAGATGAGGCCAACGCAGGGCAGGGGTACAGGCTTAGCGGGATGAGCTCACTGAGGTTTGCAGTAAGGGGAAGCATGTCTTCCCCAAGGAGAAAAACAAGCAAATTCTTCTATGTCTTCATGCCTAAGTGTTCTTTGGCAAAAGGGACCATTTTTTCTTTGGGATTATTAAAGAGCTTTTCTCATCGCTGTTGCTAAATACCCTTTTCTATCCTTTCCTCTTGATCGATCTCCTTGTGATACTTTCTGTTGAGCCTTCTCTACTTCCTTACCCTAATCTTTACTGACTCCAACTCCTTATGCTCAGCTTTGAATCCGATTCCTATTGTTCTGCAACTCTGGGAAGCAGCTGGTAAAAGATAACACTAGCTACTTTTCTGGCCAGGAGAGGTTTCTAAACAAACTGTGGACATGTAAACATGACAGGTGACAATGGTCCCTTTAAGTACACCAATGAGCAATCAAGGGTCTGGATCAGTAGCATAAATACTTGATCTGGCCCTTGTAGATGAGAAGACAGCCAGCAAGGGCCATGAGTAGAGGGAGAAGCTAAGGAGACATGAGCTCATGTTGGCTGAGGGCAGGAGGTGAGGCCCTGGTACCAGCCCGCAGCTATGCCTAAAGCCAGGGAGGCTGGGCATTGGTGCCAGCAGTGGGGTCATGCTGTTCAAGAGACCAGATGCTGGCATCCAGGTGCTCTTGCCAAAGAGGAATAATTTGGTAACTGCTGGTGAACTTAAGGCACATCCAAAGAATCCTCATTCTCAAACATCTGACTCTATACCGTCAAATTCCTACCACTGGACTCTCCTTTGATGGAAGGCTTTATCTACCAAAGGCTACTGCTGAAATGCCAGTAACTTATCTGGGAGGGGCTGCCCATTATCGCCCACAGATATCCACACGGCCCTATGACAGGGCAGGTTTTGAACGAAAGGTGGGACAGGATGCAGGCGGTACAGAACTCAGGGGTGGCAGGAAGCTAGGGTTTGGGAGAGGGAATTCAGAGCACCAAAAGAAAAGGGGGGGACAGTTAACTCCCTCCTTCATTCACAGCCTTGCTTAGGTGGCCCTGGCTGGTGTGTCAGGGAGTTAACAGGATGGCAGGTATGTCAGAGTGAGGCTTATGAGCCGTTCACAGGGGGCTTATAAGGCTTTAATGCCACAGGGGAAGGGGCAGCTCATGTGTGGGGAGGCTCCACTCACCATGGGGATGCTAAGCTGGGGAAAGGTTCCAGAGCACTGGGATGGGCATAAAATCCTCACTCGGAGGTGGTGGGGTTCTGTCTGTGTGGAGGGGAAGAGACTTTCTCATTCTAGAAGCCCAGGGCATCTGTTTTGGGAAACAGGGGAACACCGTTGGGGCTCAGGCTGGGTAGGATCTGGGCGTGGAGGCCAACAGGCCAGAGAGTTTTCAGTCTGGACCCTTTTAAGGAGGGTGCAGCCGAATACGTGCAGAGAGAATGAGGCACTCTTGTCTTCATTTCCGCTCGATGCAGTCAACTCCCAGAGTGTTGTCAGGGCAACGGCAGGTCCTGCTTCCAGGTGTGGCCAAGCAGAGGTGGGTACAGCCACCATTGTTCACTGAGCAATAGTTGTGACCTGAAAAAGGCAAAATCAGTTCAAGGGCCACAGAAGAGAGTAACCTACATATTAGCCCCATTTTTGATTTCCACGCCAAACATGTGGGTGCTCCAGGAAGAGGGAGTCCTCGTCATTTAAGGATTTACCAGATGGGCAAAACTCAATTCCTGAGTTGGGGACTGATTTACCATCAGAGCTGGGAGCTCTGAGTATAACATGGAGCTGGGATTTTCAAGCACAGAGTGCTCTCAGTCTAGCCTGTCCACTTGGCTTTGCATCAGCCTGGAGGTAGGTGGGAAGCCATGGAGCGCAAGTCTGGGGAGGGGTCTCAGAGAGGTGGCACAGCAGATTCTAGAGCCACACTGCCTAGCTCCCCCACGGCTGTGCCACTGTGAGCTACGTGGCTTTGGGCAAATGGCTTTGGTTCCCTTATTAATAAAATGGGACAAGAACGGTACCTACCTCATGGGGTTGCTCTGAGGATTAGTGAACTCATGAGTACTCAGCACTGAGAAGGCTGGGTTAATACACATGGTCGTGATTATTAGCAGCAGTGATTTTTTTTAAAGATTTATTTATTTATTTATTTATTTATTTATTTATTTATTTATTTATTTATTATAGACAGAGAGAGAGGCAGAGACACAGGAGGAGGAAGAAGCAGGCTCCATGCCGGGAGCCCAACGCGGGACTCGATCCCAGGACTCCAGGATCGCGCCCTGGGCCAAAGGCAGGCGCCAAACCGCTGAGCCACCCAGGGATCCCCAGCAGCAGTGATTATTAATATGGCTGTTAGGTCAAACGGATGGACTCTTGAAGCAGCAGAGATCGTAACCTGGATGTTCCTATTTGGAACCTGAAGGCTGCATACATCTAGACCCAGCCCAAGATTCAGTACTTTCCCTCACCCTGGTCCACCACCTCCACCTCATCCTCTCATGTTTTCAGTGTGGCTCATCTACTAAATAATGAAGACCCTTGAGGGAAGGGGCTGTGTCTCACCTGCCATGTGCTCAGGGCTACGAGAGCCCAGGCAGGGAGCAGCCAGGGCCCCCCAGCCCCTGACTAGTAAGTGCACAGGTGGGTTACCTTGAGGACACTGAGACAGGGCCGTGGTGACACCATATAGCCGGGTCTGCTTGTGGGGGTGGAAGGCATCCGTCTCTTTGGAAATAGCAAGATCTACAGCAACCACGGAATTCCTGTGGAACACCAAAGGGCAGAGGGTAAAAGACACATCTGATGGCTCCAACTTTCTGCCTACAAGGTGGCCTTTTCTGTGGTTTTGGGGCCACGAAGAGACACGTTGGCCTTACTGCCTAGCCATCCCCACCCCCTCCTCCTGGGGAGGGACAAGCCTGCATTTCTCTGCCTTCTTAGAAAGGACAAAGATTAGCAAGCTCTCCCCTCAGCTCTAAATTCCAAACTGGGAAATTGGCTTTCCATCCAGATGCCCTGGGCCCCGGTTGCTTGCTTGGCTTGACGCCCCATGTTTGCAGGAAGGGATGGTCCAGCAGGGGCTTTGGGAATATTGCAGTTTAAGAAGTGTAATGCAATAGGGGCCTGGGGTGGGCATGGAGCCTACCAGCCAAGGGACCCCAGGCCAGCTCTCGGGGAAAGAACAGACATTCTCCCAAGTCCAAGTATACATACTTGAAGCTGCCCAGCCAGGAGCATCAGATGATAAACAGCACCTCCTACCCCCCAGGTGCCCTCTGCCCTCACTCTTCTTCCCCCTCCTCTCCTGACAACCAGAAGGCCGAGGCAGACAGCAGGTGCCTCTGGGCACTGGAAGGTCAGGTCAAGAGGCCACATGGGGAGGGCTTGGCCTCCCAGAGACAGGGCAGCAGGGCAGGCTCCCTGGCCCCCGCTGACGTACGTCTTCCAGTCCGTGTAGTACAGATTCTTCCCATAGCTTGTAACAGCAAAAGGGTACTGGAGCCCTTCGAGAACCCTGCGTCGGCCAGACTGCTCGGGCTTCAGACACTCTACCCGATTGGTGCCTGTGTGGAGCGAAAACAAGTGGTTTATTGTGCAACCAAGAAACGGCCCCTTTATGACAAAACCAGTAACGAGGGCCGGGGTGAGAGAAGTCGGTGTTACAATGACAGATCCTGGAGAACACATGAGACCTGCTCTTGAACAGCAGAAAGCTTTTGCCCTGCCCTGCCCCTCTCACTGGTCAGCACCCCCCCTCCATTGGGGGATCCATACCTGATTCCGATGCGGGCCGGGGCAGGGGGGCCTCTCCTTGTTCTGCCCATTCCCAGAGCAGCTTGGGGATTAAGTAGGACTGATGACATCTTCCAGCTCTCACTCAAGTCCCTACTGCCTGAGGCCTCCCAGCCCCTCCCTCCCTGCACTCCAAGCCCTTAACCATTGTTAACATGCCCCATGGTTGCAACCACACATGGCCCCACATCAGCGCCCAGACTAGGGCTAACTTAAGCCTTGCATTGTCCTTTAATTGTGCAAGATTTATTCCTGTGCTCCCTGGATGCAAGATGCAGTCCCTGCACCCCTGTGGCACCTGACGGTGTTGGGAAAAGGGCAGGTACTCAGGAGACACTTAACGGATGACTGACTATACTCCCCCACTAAGCAGCCCGTCCACATCCCTCGATACCCCAGGGTAGGGGCTCTCATCAGGATTGTACACTTTTATTTTCCTTGGCTCCAGGTCCTGCCTGGGCCCCTGAGGATGGCTGTAAGCCACAGAAATGTAAGTCACGAATTGCATAAAAGATAGATAATAATATGATGAGGACTGGCTCTATGGGTCAGCAAACTTTTTCTTCAAGGGCCAGATGGTAATTAATTTAAGTTTTGGGGGCCGAGAGGCAAAATTGAGGACATAATGGATGCATTTACATAACCTCTGAAAATGTAACATTTAAAAATGTAAAAACCATTTATAGCACCTAGATGTAAGCAAAACAGGTGGCTGGTTGGCACTGGCCCATGGGCTAGAGGTTGCTGATGCCCAACTTAGCCAGCTGAGAACTTGCCCTGGATAGTGAGCATCAAGCCTAGAGAAACAATACATTTCAGAGAAAAGATGGGCCGCTATTTTTGTGCAGGAAAGTAAGACAGCTATCTCCTGCCCCCTTCCCTGTAACAGATACCAGCCCAGAGTGGGTAAGAATAATTGTTTAGAGAGCGGACACCCAGGACTCCAAGATGGCTTCGCCCATACCAGTGAAGGAAAAGAAGCTCATGGAGGTGAAACTAGGAGAGCTGCCCGGCTGGTACTGATGCGGGATTTCACCCCTAAGGGCATTGCTGGAGCATTTCAAAGAGGCTACTACTGGTATTACAACAAGTATATCAATGTGAAGAAAGGGGGTTGCTGGGATTTCTATGGTACTGGCTGCTTATGTGCTTTTCAACTACTGTCGTTCTTACAAGGAACTCAAACATGAACGGCTACGCAAGTACCACTGAAGAGGGCCCAGTGTGGAAGCACATTTGGCATTCCTGACCATGACTTTTGCCTGGCATCCTTGAATCCTTCCATTGCTTAATTAATTCACAATTAATATCCAATAAAAGTTGACTGGTACTCAAAAAAAAAAAAAAAAAGAATAATTGTTTAACTTAAAAAAAAAAAAAAGGCACTGTTCCAACCCCAGGGGTCAGGCCTGGGGCTCTTCATCACCTGCATCCACCCAGCAGAGCTGAGATGAGTAGGCATCAAATGTCAGCCCATTGGGCAAGCCCAGGTCATCCTGCACAAGAATCCTTCGGTTGGTGCCATCCATGTAGGAAGTTTCAATTTTGGGGCTATCTCTGTTCCAGTCTGTCCAATAAAGGTTCCTGGAGGAGGAAAAGGAATGGAAAGAGGAAGAGAAATAACAAAGATGGATGAGAAGTTTATTAAAACAACTTTAAAAGAACCTATGATGGGGCACCCAGGTGACTTAGTCACTTAGGTATCTGGCATCAGCTCAGGTCATGATCCCAGGGTCCTAGGATCGAGCCCCCTGAGCAGGAAGTCTGCTTCTCCCTCCCCCCACCATAGCCCCCACTCATGCTCTCTCTCTCACTCTCACTACCTCAACTAAATAAATAAAATCTTAAAAAAAAAAAAAACACCTACGATGAAGACATTGTCAGACATTCAAATGCAGGATGGCTAATGGGTCTGGAGGTGATGAGACATGTTTTCCTTTGCAAAGATACTTGGATTTGGTTCTTCAATTGAACGTTTTACTCTGTTACTAATGAATTTACTTCCCTTAAACATAACTGACATATTGTGTCTTGTTCAAAAAGACAGCACAAAACAGAACACCACAGCAGAGACAAACACTTGGGAATTCCTGTATGCTGTTCCCACACAGGGGGACACAGCAGTCCCAGGGGTTCAGGGTGGTGGTCAAGTGGTCACAGAACTAGGGATGTGGCCTCACAGGGAAGGGATCAAAGTGTGAAGGTGCCGAGGGCCTGGTGTGGATTTAGAGCTTATTGTAGGGAAAAAAAGAGAAAGGACTGATGTGAAGACAAAATCCTAGAAAGGGGTCTCCGAGGTAGCCGTGTTGTGTTGGCCTGAGGCCCAGGGGTATGTTTATGCTACTCTGATACCGTTCTGGGGTGGAGAGAGCACAGGTGTTAATCCACATTCAACTCAAATGGAAATAGCCAGTTTCTGAGCTGTCAACTTACAGAGTCTCTTCTTAAAAGATTTAAAAGTGGAGCATGGGATCAAGTCCATGATCATGGGAAATTACAATCCTGTTCATCCTGTAACGCATCCATTTCAGGAGAGCGATGCTGGAGTTAGAGCCTAATATTTGAGGATATCCGAAAGAACAGTTGCAAATGGAATGGACACACACACACACAGAGATTTATACAAAGATACCCTCTCACGGAATCCGTGACGATGCCTCTGGGATTCACCAAATCAGTCTCAAACAGCACCCGGCGCTGGGTGCCATCCAGCTTTGCAACTTCTATTCGATCCAAGTGAGAATCAGTCCAGAAAATGTTGCGGCCAAGATGGTCAAGGGCAATGCCTTCTGGACTTCCAAGATCTAGAACCAAACACAGAACATTTCTGGGTTTTGTAAGCAGGTATGATGAAGTTTTTCTGATTGCTCAGTGTTATTTCTCTTGGGTGCAATCCTTGCACTTTGGGAAAACAAATGGGTATGTGAAATGCCTGTTGCTTATAAGCTAAGCAACACTCAAAGCGACAAATTAAAAAAATGTCACTCATTCATTCAGCAGACACCTACCCTGTGTACCCCACTGGGAACCAAGCCCACAACAACATCTAAGCTGTGTCCCCGGCTTCCAGGAGCTTGCAAGCAACCACAATTGAGACTGAGTTCTGTTTTTATGGGAACATGGAGGAGGATGCTGACCTTGGCCTGGGGAGACCCAGGAAGGATTTCCTGGGTTGGGGTGGTGTCACCTCGTGTAGCTGGCTCCCAAAAGACCAGGAGGAGTTTGTCAGGCGAAGATCCTGGATGAGAGTTAGCGAGCTAGTGGGCCCAGCACAAAACTATAAAGGAAGATTGGACCCAACTTGAAGTGAACTATATATCATTTTGCGTGGCTGGTGTCCATGAGGATGGGAGAGCTGCCAGAGGTGGAGGATGCTCATGTTAAGGAGCTTAGAGCTTATCCCACAAGCAAAGGGGAGGCATATGAAGATCTTAAGAGGGGAATAGCACAAAACAGATTTGCCTTATTCATTGGTTATTGGAGGGAAAGGGTCATCTCAGAGAAGTAACAGCAAGAAATCATAATTGTTGTTATTTCTATAGAAGTTTTAGGAGTACAAAGAAGGGATATCAGTGATCACAAGTAACACTCCCAGAAGTCTTCTAGGTTATAAGTAACTGATTTTCAAGCCAGGGGTTGCCACAGGATAAGCTGACAGCAATACGAACCTTCGGTGCCCACCTAACCTAACCACAAGTTCAAGACTGCAATGATTCCCCGACTACAAATGAAAGCAAATTAAACATTAGGACCGTAGCTATCAGGGTTCTGCTGGTGTCACTTAGGGTTCTTTCTCCTCTACTGACTAGAGAATTGAAGATCACTTAGTATGGTTGCAGTGTAAGCAGGAAGGGGAAGAGGCCAAGGATGGGATCCAAGGTTTGAGGAAATCATCCCCACACTGTGTTTCTTCATCAATGTGTAAGCAACTCAGACCCTCAGCTCTTGTATCAGCCTTCACTGGACTCCTAATATGACTGACTGCAGATGCTGGGAATACCAAAGCCCCACCCTCCCGGAAAGGACCCCTGCCAGAGGAAGTTTATTAAGAATTAGAAACAGCCCTAGAACAAGGTTTTTATTATTCAAACCAGCAGTAGAGATTTGTGAAGTATTAAAACATTTCCCACGTCCCTAGGGGAGAAAGGACAGCAAGCCTGACCTCCAGAGACCCCTTCTGTCTTTCCGACAAAACCAGAATAAACCATTCTGGGGTATATTTCCTCTGCCAGTGACACAAGCCATTCAAACACACAGATAGAAAAGTAGAGGGAAAGGCGGCTCAGTGGCACTGCCTGACAAGATGCCCAGGGCCCTCAGAAACTCCGTGTCGTTCTGTCTCCTTACAAACAGCTCTAATCCTGACTTCGAACCCATGAGCAACCAAATCTTCTCCTCCATCCAGGAAAATGCTTCCTTTTGAACTCTCATGCCAAAGAATGGTCTGTGCAGTTACTGTGCAGTCAGGGAAAGAAGGGAAGAGAGCAAGGCAGTATATTCCATACTGCTTATGTCAAGAGGAAACACATTATGACACTAAAGATATTTGGCTAGGGGTTTCACTCAAGGAAAGAGAGACAACCTTACCATTTGGATCACATGGAATAAAAAAGAGCTCCCCACTTCCACCTTCACTCACGAGGGAGGCACCAACTTGTTTCATGACAAAAACTGAAGGGGAAGTCTCTTTCTCTCTTTTGAAATAAAAGAAAATTTATGCCCAGTGATCTTCCTTCTACAAAGATCACATTCTAGTTTAATTCTGTGTTTTCACAGTGGACTTTTGCCTGGAATGTTTCTTGCTGAGCTTAAAGCTTTCTTGGATGATTATCAGTTCCAGAAGCAACAGGAAATAGCAGTGATGACCTCCTCCCCTCTTCCACTGGGTTTTAAAGTCAAAGCATAGATAACAGCAACATTTTTAACAGAGAGAGAGAGGACACCCAGAAAAAGGCATTTTCAAAATTCTGTTCATTAAACCAAACTATGAAAACTAGCAGACATTAAATAGCACCCTGGCTTCCAGAAAATGATGCAGCAGCCTATGTCAAAAGCTAGATGTATTTAACTCAACCTCAGCTTGATTCCTATTGCATCATCTTTTGTGAAGGAACCAAGGAAGGAAGAAAAAAAACAAAACAAAACTGTATGACCAATACAGGCACAGGGACCCTTCCAGAATATCAACTGCTACAGAAACATTAAATTGGAAATTGGAGGGATCCCTGGGTGGCGCAGCGGTTTGGCGCCTGCCTTTGGCCCAGGGCGCGATCCTGGAGACCCAGGATCAAATCCCACATCGGGCTCCCGGTGCATGGAGCCTGCTTCTCCCTCTGCCTATGTCTCTGCCTCTCTCTCTCTCTCTGTGTGTGACTATCATAAATAAATAAAAATTTAAAAAAAAATTGGAAATTGGAAAAGCAACATTCAGCCTCAAGGAAAAAGAAATACCAAGTGAGGCTCATATGTTTTGAAGATGTATCTTTGATTTGAGTGTTTTGCAAAGGAAGCAAAATGATTTTACATGAGAACCATCATTGTCAAGACAATGCCTTTTCATTGAAAATATCTGCAAGTCAGCTGAGGAGTTACTGACTTAGTGACATGTAATATTTGACTTTTTCAGTAAAGGGGAATTTATATAAGTCCTTGGATTTTGGTTGTAATGGCCTTCAATCTTGATAAAACATATCTATGTAAAATAGTTCTGACTTGTTGAATGGAGGCATAACAATAACACATAAGTCCTTGACTTAAATGGACCTCTGTAAATTAAGAAATTGAGGTTAAATGTTGAGGGGTCAGCTGTGCCAAAGTGTTATGACTTCATTATCAGTAACACAACTAAAAATTGAGGAATGTTTATGAAACTTCAGCCTGCTTTACTGTACTCCTCTGGCACAGGCAATCTGAGCAACTCAGGTAGGGTAAGGTAGAAAAGACCTCCTTCCACCATTATGTTACAGGCTGAAGCGACAACTTTTGACCTGAAAACCACCTTGGGAATAGACAATTATCAGGGATTATATTTGCCAATATATTTGTAATTCTCCCAACTTCATGATGTATCTGCCTAATGGAGCATACCATGGGGCAGACATTCTGAGAATCAATTCTAGGCTCAACAGATAGAGGAGAAATATATATCCTAAGTGGAGGGTTGAGTTTGGCCTTTATTGTTCATTAAAACTTGCTAGATAAGTGTTAAGAGAAAGGTGTGGGCACTTACCCTATTTTAATCTTATTCTTCTTAGGCTAGCAACAAGTCTCAACTAAAGTGTTTGTGATTTAATGAAGAGTTCGTGGATGACTTTTCAGAGAAAGCTGGAAAGGGTGGTGTTGAGGCCGAGAACCCAGGTCCACTCAAATCACGATATCCTGTATGTAACCACACACTCCACCCCTCTGCTCTCCCCCAAGAGCCACTTGGGCTGCAGGGAGCCAAGTCGAGAAGGAAGAATGCTTGCCCACCTTGTCGAATGATGGTGGTTGGCTCTCCGCCATGCATACTGGCTCTCCCAATGGAAGGCTCACTGATGTCAGTCCAGTAAACCATCTTGTCCACACAGTCGAAGGCCAGTCCAATGATGACTTTATCCTGTAAGTGCAGACAGCTGTAAGAGTGGCCCACCCACTAGCAACTGAATGACCAATGATGGTAGGACTCTTTCATGTGATTACAGGCATCTGGACTTTTTTAATGAAGTGTTTTTAGTCCATTTAAAAATGTTTATTATTGAGTTGTAGGAGTTCTTTATGCAGTTCAGATAAAAATCTTTTGTTGTATACATATGTATGCGTGTGTGTGTATTTCCACTCATGTAGCTTTTTTCTCACCTTTTTTGTTTGTTTTTACTTTTAAATTTTCTTAATGGTATTTTTGAAAAGCAAAAGTTTAAAATATTTATTAAGTTCAATTTATTATTGTTTCTCTTATGACTAATACTTTTTTTTAAAATATTTTATTTATTCATGAGAGACACACAGAGAGAGACACACACAGACACAGGCAGAGGGAGAGGCAGGCTCCACGCAGGGAGCCCAACGTGGGACTTGATCCCGGGTCTCTAGGACCACACCCTGGGCTGAAGGTGGTGCTAAGCCACTGAGCCACCCGGGCTGCCCGACTAATACTTTTTGTATATTATCTAAGAAATCTTCACCTATCTAAAGATCATTTTAAAAGAGACACGAATAGGGCACCTTAGTGGCTCAGTCAGTTAAGAGTCTGCCTTTAGCTGAAGTCATGATCTCAGGGTCCTGGAACCAAGCCCCAAGTCAAGCCCCAGGTCAGGCTCCCTGCTCAGCAGGGAATGTGCTTCCCTCTCTGCCGCTCCTCCTGCTTGTGCATGCATGTGTGCTCTCTCTCTCTCTCTCTCATGCAGGCACAGGCACACACACGCACTCTCTCAGATAAATAAAATCTTAAAAAAAAAAAGAAATAATGGAAATAGGTAAAACCACTCTAAGACAATTAGATTGTTTATGTAGAAAATCCTGGGGAATCTATAAAACTATTATAACTACCAATTAAACCCAGCAAGGTTGCAGGGTACAAGGTCAATATAAAATTGTATTTCTATGCACTAGCAAAAACTAAAAATTTTAAAACAGTAATTCTTATATTTGCCCCCAAAACAAAGTATTTAAGAACAAATATTTTTAAATGTGCAAGATTCTACACTGAATATCATAAAACATTGCAGAATAAAATTAAAGAAGAGCCAAATAAACAGAGATGAATTAGTTTAATGGATCCTAAGATTTAATATTGATATCAATTTTTCCTAAATAGGCTTAAAAGAGACACAAATAGGGCACCTATTGTGCACCTTTTGATATCAAAATCTCAGCAGGCTTTTTTTCCCCTTCGGTGGAAACTTACAAGCTTACTCTAAAATGTCTATGGAGGGGCCCCTGGGTGGCTCAGTGGTTGAGTGTCTGTCTTTGGCTCAGGTCATGATCCTGGGGTCCTGAGATCGAGTCCCACATCAGGCTCCCCACAGGGAGCCTGCTTCTTCTCTCTCTGCCTGTGTCTCTGCCTCTCTCTGTGTCTCTCATGCATAAATAAATAGAATCTTAAAAAAAAAATAAAGTAAAATAAAATGTCTGTGGAAATGCCAAGTAAATATATAAAGAACTCCTACAACTAAGTAACAACAAATAAGCCAATGACAAAATGAGCAAAGGACCTGAGTAGACATTTTTCCAAAGAAGATACACGAACGGTCCATAAATGCATGAGAAGATGGAAATATCGCTCGTTAGAGAAACAAAAATTAAAACCACAATAAGACACTACTTCACAAGTATTAGGATGGCTACCGTTAAGACCAAAAAGTAATAAATGTTGAGAAGTTGGAATCTTTGTACTGTGCTCGTATGTCTGTAAAATGGTGCAGCTACTGAGGAGAATGTTATGGCAGTTTCTCAAAACATAAAAAATAAATCTATAGAATTGCCATATGATTCAGAAATTCCAGGCCTGGTTTATATTCCAAAAAAGTGAAAACAGATATGTGTACACCCATGTTCACAGCAGTGTCATTCATAATAGCCAACGGATGGAAGCAACCCAAGTGTCCATCGATGGATGAATGCATAAACAAAATGTGGTAAATCTATGCAACAAAATATTATTCAGCTTAAGAAGGAAGGAAATTCTGATACCTGCTACAACATGGATGAACTCTGAGGATATTTTGCTAAGCAAGCAGGTTACAAAAGGATACCACAGACTTCCAAAGGCATGGGGTATCTAGAGGAGTCAAATCCATAGAAACAGAAAGTAGACTAGTAGTTGCCAAGGGCTGGGGAAGGAGAGAGTTATTATTTAATGAGTACAGAGTTTCTGTTTGGTTGATGAGTGGCTGGTGGTGATGGTTACACTGTCACTGTGAAGTGGTTAAAATGGTAAAAATATACACAAAAAAATCAATTAAAAGAACGCAATGAATATTAATCCGGTGTCAGCACCCTCCCCTCCACCTATTCCACCTCAATTTTTTGCTTTTCTTAGTGTCACCTGACATTCAGGCTCTACCCTTGATCTTGGGCAACAATGACTGTCACAGGGAGCTCAAGCCTTTCCCGCTACCTGAGCATGTACACTGGAGGACACAATGAAAGAACGATGATGATTGTCCCTGCAAGGATTTATGTTTCACTGAGGCAACAGAAGAATCCAAAGATCACTTATTCATTCAGAAAACAGTTTTTGAGTGCCAAGCCCTGTTTTGGCTCTAGGAATCCAACTGTAAAACAAATGCGTCCATGAAAGAGATGGACAGTTTCTGGTCTCACGTGCTTACATTCTTAAGGGGGAACATATATATCAGATACAGAGCATATATGTTGATATACAATGTACTAAGCAGTGTGGAGTGCTATGGTAAAGACCAAGCATGACAGGGAGACAGAGCAGTGCAGACAGGGTGGCCAGGACAGGCCTCCCAGAGAGGTGACATGCCAACAGAAATCTGAACAAGGTGAGGCAGGAACTGCACAAGTGTCTGGGAGGGACAGGACTCCTGGTGGAGGCACAGCAAGTGCAAAGGCCCTGAGATGGGGATGTGTGTGGTGTGTTGAGGACAAGCCACAGGACCAGACAGCTGAAGCTGCTGAGTGGGAGGACGATGACAGGGAATGGGGTGGGAAAAGTAGCTGGAGGCCATGGGAAGAACTGGATTTTATTCTGGGTGAAGGGAGAACCCATCCTAGGGTTTTGTACAGGGGAAGAAAATGAATCCAAGAAGCTTTGAAAGCCTTCTTCACTCCTTCTGGGACCTGAGGGACCCCTCTGCTCTTGCAACCCCTGTCTGCTCTTGCAATCCTGCCCCCAGGTCTCAGGTCTGGTTTCTTTCTGAGCAGGGGTCAGGATTGCAGATGAAAGTTAATGGCTTTTCAGAAGTGTCCAACCTCTAACAGACAAAAATCCCCAACTCACAAAATGCATCTTTGATGCTTTGAAAAGCTTTAAGATGAAGCTTTTTATTTCCTTGGGGCAGATATGAGGATCTTTAGTTGATGATCTGCCAACTGTGAGCCCCTTTATTAATTTAGCAGGAATGGCAAGGTGGGACCTGGGAGACACACATGGACCAGATACTCAAGTTGTGTGGTGCCCCTAACCAGGGGTCAGATCCCACAGTGGTCTCTGAAAGACCTCCCTGATTCTGCTCCCATCCCCTCAGGGAGCTCCAGAGGCAGCTCGAGAATACAGTGGCCCCATCTAGAGATGCACACCTGGGGTCACACAGAACCCAGAGGCTCCTAAGTCCCAAGGCTCAAGCTCCAGAGCTGGATCTAACTACACCCAGCTTGATTTTCCAGGTCACTGGAGCGGAAGCTGTCACCAACTGCAATTAGCCAGCACTCACCGGAGCATGAAGCAATGTCTTGGCTTCTGTCTTCTGCATGATGCTCCCTTCCAGGGGGAGATGCTCTATCTTCCCAGTCTGAGCAAAGAGTAAATGGGTCCCAGGTGGCAGGGGAATCACAGCAGTAGGAACTGAGGGTCCATGATGAATCGGGGGAGCCACTGTACTTAGACCTGTGTGGCAGGAGAGGTCATTGAGCAAGGCCTATGGGCAGCAGGAATGTATATGGTGAGGCTCACATGTGGGTGCACGTACACACACACACACACACACACACACACACACACACACACGAATGCCACCTTCACGGCACCACAGACTGCACAGCCACATAATGCCCATGTTGCATCTAAAAGCACAAGGAGCAGAAAGCCCACAAAGGGCATTTGTGAAGAAGATAAGGCAGGGCATGAGTTGAACATGAAAGGTCACATGAAAAAAAAAAAACATGAAAAAACCCAAGGGCTTAGCCTTCTCCTTAATAGAAACAGAAATAATGTAACCATTCATGCCCTGCTGCAGGCACTGGCTGCCACAGTGAACCAAAACGACAGCCAGAGTAGTCCCCGAAGCCCCTGCCCCTGCTCACACTCCACTGGAAGATGCTGATCTTCCCAATGTCGACCTGCCCTACACACCCCGTCCTGCCTGGTGGGCAAGTCTTGGACCCAACCCAAAGGGCAGGAACACACCCCTCCCGGGCTTTCTGGATCAGGGGCTAATGCTCCCCCAGGTTTGGCCTCACCTCCTAAGTGCTGAACCCCAATGCCTGACACGACTCCCTGGCTCCCCTTGACAAAAACATTCCCTGAGAAGGGACAGGCAGCCTGTGCCGCAGGGTGAGGAGCCCGGAATGCTGAGTCCTGGCTCTCCCTGCGCTGTGTCTCCTGCTCTCTGAAGACAGAGAGCTGGACCTGGTCCTCACTGGAACCACTTCCACCTCTTTCTCCTGCCTATCTTGCCCAATATACCCAGTCAGTGATGTAGACTAGTCTGGCTGATTTCTTTACTATCTCTGGAATCCATCCCTATCTCCTAACTCACTGCCAGCAGGCCAGGTAGCTCCCTCCCTTAATGCCAGGCACTGGGACAGCCCCCACCTGCCCTGCCGGGCCTCTCACCCCATCTCAGCTTCTACCGATCAGCTAGCAGTATTTCTAAAACCCAAACCTGGGCAGCCCCAGTGGCTCAGCAGTTTAGAGCCACCTTCAGCCTGGGGTGTGATCCTGGAGACCCGGGATAGAGTCCCACGTGGGGCTCCCTGCATGGAGCCTGCTTCTACCTCTGCCTGTGCCTCTCATGAATAAATAAATAATAATCTTAAAACCCAAACCTAGTGGGACCAATGTCTACTCAAGACCTTCCCCAGGCTCCTGGCTTCCCTTGGTTTCAACCCCAGGCCCCTCAGCTGGGCATCCAAAGCCCTCACCTTGGCTCCCCTCCTCTCTCCAACCTCTCAGCCTGCATCGGCTGCCTGGAATTGGCCTTCTAGCCGCAGCCTCTCTGGGGCTGCTACCTTGGCCCCTGCTTGATAACTTGGTTCACACCATATTGCTCTGGAACACCTTCCCAACTAGCCTCCCACGCCCACCTAAGCCTCTGGGTTTCTCGGGCTCCTCCTCTCTCACAGAGCTTCTCTCCTGCCCTACACCTGCTCACCTGGCCCCTGAGGTTCCCCAGGATCTGAAGCTCAGTTAATGCTGGCTGGATGAATTAATGACCACTTCCTACTCACTTAGCAGCCTTTTAGCAGCTTCAAGAAGCTATCTGGTAGAGGATCAATCCTTGATCATTAGCTCAATTGTGAATGGAGATTCAAGGACTGATTGTATTTGGTTTTGGTCACTTGTTGACAATTACCCATTTTCCACATTTGAGACAGAAGCAGGATTTTAGAGCTGGAAGCCACGCTACAGATTGCTTTGCTCCTCCTTTGGGTGGAGGCTGAGTAAACAGAGGCTGAGGCATCATGGGTCCCAAGCTGCATAGCCTGGCCAGCCCCCCACAGGCCCCCGCACCTCCCAGGGGAGGCCTTCGGTTGGTCTCTTCTATGCCTGATACATCCCATGCAGAAGTTGGAAGGCCAGGCCACCATGGCAGGGAGTGTACTCTGGGGGACCCACAGCCCCCACACCCTCTGCTACCACAGCAGTACAGCTGCAGCCAGCCCCGCTGGCATTTGTACAGAACAGGTACGCCCAGAAAAGGAAGAGAAGAGGTATGGGGGGTGGGGGGGACAGAATGATGGAGGGAGGGGGATGCATGATGAGAAAGACAGAAGAGGGGTGCAGAAGGCAGAGAGGGAGGTAGGGAATGTGGTCCAGGCCAGTGGAGCAGTACAGGATTTAGGGCAGACACAAAGTGCCACCTGTGTCCTGGGCAAGGCCCCCCGATGCTCATGGGCACTGCAACTCTGGTCCCTGAGGCCTTTCTCAGACCCAACCCCCAAGTTGTGCTGCCCTCCGACTTACAGGGGGGCGTCATCCCAGGCCTGGTCCTGGTGCCCTCCAGCTCCCGGCCGTCGCGATCCACACACCAGCAGTGGCCAGTGCTGCCGTGGCACTGGGTGGGCGTGTAGTGCCCGTGCTCGTCACACTCGGGAACAAACAGGCCTGGCATCACGGGCTGCTGTTGGTCCGTCAGCCCTGCTGCCCGGAGGATGTGTTCTCTCTCCAGCTGACATCGGGTTTTCTCCATTTCTACGACAGAGACAAGGACAAGGGAGGTGGTCAGCCGGGTCACCGGCCAGCGTCCATTGGCCATGGCTGCTGGAGACTGCGCTTGACTCTAACCCGTGAAAGCTGCTGGTTTATGGCTGGGTTTTATTTTGTTCATTTTCTAAACTTTAAAATGTCATATTATTGAATGAATTTAAAAGTCAAGAAGACTATATTTACATCTTTTCTTTCTGAAGCGGTTTTTTTTCAGTTTGTAAAAATTAAGACAAAACCAACAGAACATAAAATTAGTTATTTCAAAGTGAGCAATTCAGTGGTATTTAGTATAGTCTCAATGTTATGCAACCACCTCCTCTTTGAATTTGGATCCACTGCCTTCAGCTCCAAAGGAACCTTATACTTAGAAGCTGGTGCTCTCCACTTCCAGCCCCTGGCAGCTGGTGACCTGCATTATCTCCATGGATGGTCTATCCTGGACATTTCTAATAAATGTAACACATACGTGTCATGCATATGACATGTGACCCGGCTGCTCTCACTCAGCAGGTTTCTGGGGTTCATTCATGGTATAGGATCCATCAATGTATCATTCCTTTTTATGGCTGAATAGTATCCCCCTGGATGGCTATTCCACATTTTGTTTACCTATTAATCAGTTGATGGGCATCACCGAAATTTGTTTTAAGAAACACGGTTTCTCTGAAATTTGTCCTTTTTATCATCTCAAGCTTCTTGATTGTACACATGGAGTCGAGGTCAAAGATTTGGGAAACCAACACCCCAGGGCACATTTCCTAGCATTTGTGTTTCCTTTTTTTTTTTTTTTTTAAGATTTTATTTATTGATTCATGAGAAAGAAAGAGAGAGAGAGACAGAGACATAGACAGAGGGGGAAGTAGGCTCCCTGTAAGGAGTCTGATGGAGGACTTGATTCCAGGACCCCAGGATCATGACCTGAGCCAAAGGCAGATACTCAACCACTGAGTCACCCCCGGTGCCCCTTGTGTTTCCTTTTAATGATGAGCTGTGTTTGGCATGAAACATGGCCTCTAAACCATGCAACTCAGATCCCTAGGTAAGGAAATACTTCTCTATTGGTGGGGAATTGATGACAGGAAGGTGTGGCCTGGAATCAACGATTCCCCAGTACACAGAGCTGTAACTGGTTCTGCCCTGCTGGGGTGCAGCCACCACGAGGGCAAGACCAGCACCGCCCTCACCCCTGCAGTATCCACCACACAGAGCAATGCTCAGACACCAGCAAGGGACACTGATTGCTGAGAGCTACACTTTGGCCAAACCAAACCAGGACAACTGCTTCTATTTTTCCAGGCCTTTCTCTGCCCTATTCATTAGGTGACACACCCTCCCCCATGACCCTGCTTCCCTTCAAAAATCAGCTTAGGCATTTTAGTTCCTTCAGGAAGCCTTCCCAGGCCCTCCATGTCTGGGCCCCCTGTGCCTCCACAGCTCCCGGTGGGCCCTGGGCTCATCTGCCCTGGAGCTCTCATCACACAGATCCTAAGACTCTGCTCCTGGTTTGTCTCCCTGGGCAGATTTTACTGCATCTCCTTCACCTCCACTCAGGAAGCACCCGAAGAGCAGGAGTGGGGATGCTCATGGGAGTAGCTCAAGGAACTCACATCAGGAGAGAGGGGCCAAGCACAGTTACAATCTGGTGAGTGAGTGTCTTGACAGAAGGGCTCAGAATAGACAGAAACCCAGAAGACATCTTCTCCACAGGTCTCAGAGAGCAAAGGGGTACCAAAGGGCCATTTCTGATCTTCACTGTAAGAGTGTGGTTATGTAGAGACCTAGGGCCAGGCTCACTGGTTTTTCCTTTTAAGGGGCAGAGAGTAAATATTCAGTTTTGTGGCCTGTATGGTCTTTGTCACAACTACTCCACTCTGCCGTTGGGCCATGGAAGCCACCAAATTTAATACATAAACAAATGAGAGTTCCAATAAAACTTTATTCACAAAAACAGACAGTGGGCCAGATTTGACTTGGGGGACTGTAGTTATCAACCCCTGCTCTTGGGCATTACTAGTGATGTTAGGGAGAAATTTTATATGAATACATTAATTCACATATTACTATGTATTAACTAATATATTAACGTATTGGTAATAACATATATTGTAATGTAATATATAATATATTTCATAGAACTTTGTGTCTGAGAATAGTTTTTGATTCTCAGTTCCACCACTTTTGGTGTTATCTTCGGCATGTCAGCAATGCTGGACGAGTCCTACCCCTCAGCTGTAGAACAGCACTGGCAGGAGTAACTCATCTCATGTATTATTTTGAGGAGTATGTGAAATATGAGGAGACTGCACACAGAGGGAATTTTAAACTCTACAGTCAAATGTTCCTGTATGAGTGTATCTATCCAACATGGCCTTCATGGTGGCTTCAGGGTGGATGTTGCCAGTAAATGCTTAAAGTATCTTTTGTCTATGTTGCCAATTCTCACACTAGCCTGCTTCCAGTGGTTGCTCCCTTGATCAGAAGTAGTGAACATGCCAGGAAAGTGTGTCTGTTGTGTTAAACCTGGCAAGAGAGAAGTGTGTATGTCTTTCCTTTTGTCCTTAGGGCTAATATAAACAAACAAACAAATATTTTGATGTAGGAAGAGGTAAATAAGGATACAAAGAAGCCATCTGCTTGAGAATGAAGATGTTGGGTTTTGTTGGCTCTTATGTGTAGAACACGTTTACTTCCTCGGTATCTTGCACCTGCACAGGGTTTTAGAGTTCCTATAGAAACTGTATCCAGGGCAGCACCCGTGGCGCAGCGGTTTAGCGCCGCCTGCAGCCTGGGGTGTGATCCTGGAGACCCGGGATCGAGTCCCACGTGGGACTCCCTGCATGGAGCCTGCTTCTCCCTCTGTCTGTGTCTTTGCCTCTCCCTCTCTCTCTGTGTGTCTCTATGAATAAATAAACAAAATCTTAAAAAAAAAAAAAGGAAAGAAAGGATTAGGCATTCAGAAACCTGCAAGTAGGTTGACACCACATTCCAGGTACGTTTTTGTAGGTAATCGCTTTGCCTGAAGAAAAAAATGAAACTGGGCCTTAGCAAGGCCACGAGGTAGAGAATGTTCCTTGGTGTCTGTTCCTTGTAAGGGATGGAACAATAAAAAAGAAAGAAAAAAAAGAAAAAGAAACTGTATCCACTCACACGTTTTGTCTAATTCTCTTCTTGAATCCTACACAACTGGCAACTATAGTTTTTACACCAAATGAGAGACCCAAGGCTCATATTGGGGAAGGGGTTCCCAGGCCACAGCACTAGAAGTAGCTCAGTTCAAGCTAGAACCTGGCTCTTTGGATTCCTAGCCCAGTGCCTGCCTGTCCACACCCATGAGCCCAGGGCCCAGGATGGCTCAAGCATATTGGACAGGTTATGTCAACGTGATATATACTAGTGAGCTTAACACACTCGCTGAAATTATCTGTGGCCCACAGACTTATTTTCCTTCCGTCGACAGCAGTATATGGTGCTGTCTTTCCAACTAGGAAACAGGCCTGTTGCTCTGCACACTATCAACCACACCACACTTGTGAGAAGTAAGGGGTTGCTCCATTTTATGTGGCTAAGTTTTGTGTTGATGTGGTGTTTGGCCAACATATGAAATCTCAAGTGATCTAGAATTTATGGTGAACCTTTTAAGTGCTGGAGGAGAAAACTTACCAATTGTGACTCAGGAAATGGAATTTCCAGTGTGTTTATGGGAACCTGTGATGGTGCTGGGTTTTTAGGGATAGCTTCTCAGGCCCAGCCAGAAGGCAGTGGGAACAGCTCCAGGATCCCACTGAGGATCCCAGCCCTCCATGAAGAGTTCTCCACTGTGAGTGGGGTGGGGACGAGTAATAGAGACACATTTCCTGGCCCTATTTCTGGCTGATAAAATGACAAACCTGGGTAAGATTCCTTTTATTCATCTAGTTGGATCTGCCTAGGGTGAGGAAGCAGTCAAGACCTGATACTTATCCAGGGAAGAGCAGAAAGTCTGGGATGCCTTTCTCAAGGTTGGGGACAGAGTAAATGAGAGGAAAATGAAATAGATGGAGAAATAAGTAAAAAAGCACCTTTTAAATCTCTTCACTTGTGGGCACATTGGTGGCTCAGTGGTTGAGCATCTGCCTTTGGCCCAGGGTGTGATCTTGGGGTCCTGGGATCAAGTCCTGCATCAGGCTCCCTGCAGGGAGCCTGCTTCTCCCTCTGCCTATGTCTCTGCCTTTCTCTCTGTGTCTCTCACGAATAAATAAAATCTTTAAAAAAATAAATAAATCTCTTGACTTTCATTTCATTCCCTTGCCTGATTAAATTTCTTTTTCTGTGTTAATTCAAATGAATAAGTATTATAGCCAATGATACACTCAAAGGGGTAGAGGAACTCACTTGGGGAACCTTAACTAATTCAGCCCCTTCCTGCCCAGCCTGCCCCCATGCCTAGGGGCTCTTCTGTGTACCTAGATTTATCTATTATCTATTATAAAAAAGAATCTAAATCAACACCAGAGACTTTAAGAACACTTTTTTCCCCAAAGGGTCTTACTCAAATTTGAGAAAAATTGCTACAGGAAATTCTCTTATATAAAGAGTTCAAGGAACCTTTTTGTAAACCAATTATTCAGGCCTCATGTTCTTTGTTTATAAAACAAAGGAGATGAATTACAGAATTTCTAGAGTCCCTTCTAGGTCTCACAGGGAAATTCCAGTTTCTAACATTGTTTTGACATGGTTTGTTTGAGGCAAAGCACACCTAGAGACACATACAAGACTATAACAAATAAAAAGTGTACGTTGAACTGTTCCTCCGTTTTCTTCCCTCTAAGTTGTATTATTCTAAACGTTTTCATCTTTCCTTATAGCCCTGCTCTCTGAATTCCTGAATTATCTTTGTGTCTAAAGATGTGTGGTGTGTCTCTAGGTGCAACACACTGGTAAGTGTGACGGGTGCCAAGTGTGAAGAGATGTGATCAAACGTCAGTAGGCTTGGTATTTGCCCTTAAGGACCAGGCTTTACAGCTCTAGCCAGGACTTTGTATATGCCTCTTTGATCCGCTAATAATCCACTCTCCTACTTTCTAAAACTCTAGCCAATTACATTCCCCCAAACAAGGTTGGTGGCTGCGGTAGCCAGCCCCCAAGAGGGCCCCAATCTCCCGCCTCCTGGTATTCTCACGTTTAGGCAATTCCCTTTCACATTGTCAGAAGGTTGGCCTGTGACTAATAGTATCACCAGAAGTGACAGCTTGTCACTTCCCAGATGACATTGCAAAAGACCGTGGCTTCCATCTTGGGCGCTCACTCTCATCACTTCCTCTAGAGGGAGCCAGCTGCCACGTCCCTGTGAAGAGACCCAGGCTGGGAGGACCTAAAGTCCTCAGTCCAACAACCCGTGAGGAATGGAGGCCTGCCAGCAACCATGTGGATCCTCAGCCCCCGATGAACCTCAAAGACCATAGCCCCAACTAATGCCTTGACAACAACCTAATGAGAAACCCTGAACCAAGACCACCCACCTAAGCTGCTCCTGAATTCCTGGCACTCAGAGCTGTGCGATAATAAATATTTACGTTTTAAGCTGCTAACTTTGAGAATCCTTTACTATATTACAATAGATAACTACAATTGACCCTTGAACAACATAGGTCTGAACTGTGAATTTTTTTTAAAGACTTATTTATTTATTTGAGAGAGAGAAAGAGCATGCGTGTGTGCATGCACAAGCAGAGGGAGGGGCAGAGGGAGAGAGAGAATTTCAAGCAGACTCCAAGCTGAGCACGGAGCTGATGTGGGGACGGATCCAGGGACCCTGAGATCATGACCTGAGCTGAAACCAAGAGAAGGATGATTAACCAAGTGAGCTACTCCAAGAGTCCCTGAACTGTGGATATTTTACCAAACACTATGTAAATGTATTTTCTCTTCCTTATGATTTTTTTTCTTATGATTTTCTTAATAACATTTTCTTTCCTCTAGATCACTTTATTGTTAGAATACAGTATATAATACATACATAGCATACAGAATAGGTGTTAATCGACTGTTCATATTATCAGTAAAGCTGCCTATCAATAGTAGGCAATTAGTAGTTAAGTTTTTGGGCAGGTAAAAGTTAGACACAGATTTTCAACTGTGTGGGGGGCAGTCAGTGCCCCTAACCACCATGCTGTTCAAGAATCAGCTGTAATATGGTGGCCTTCAAATTTTTTGGCCAGGACCCAGAGGAATACATTTCACTGAGCAACTCAGTTCACACATACTATGTGCACACATCTCACCCATGTACGACGTGTCATTTCACGAAATGGCACTTTTTTCTACTATGTACCCTTTACATAATCTGATGTTTTCTCAATTATTTTCTATTCCATTGTATTGAAAAGAAAATGAGAATAGCAATCTACTGAACTGATTTCACAATCCACAGGCGGGTTGTGGGCAGAAGTGCAAGGGGAACATATCTGAATTTCTTGTCTTGCCTGTCATAAGCTGACATTGCAGTAGCCATGAATTTAACTGACTGATTCACCCTCAAAGCCAGTTTCATCTGACTTTTTAAACTACTCCCCACTGTATACAGTAGGTGCCAAATTAAATACTGACTGTCCAATTCCCTGCACTTCATTGTGTTTGGCAGTAGGAGTCCACGTGACACTACACATTATTTTTCTCTCTGCTAATATTTCATACATATTTTAGTCAGATAAAGTTAAGAAAAATATGATAAAAACCTCTCTGTTCATATTCTAGCAGAAAAAAAAATTACTAGAAATACAAAGGCAGTCCCTGCACTGGCCTCCCCTAACCCCAGTGCCTCTCTTCCACCATATAGGTAATCTTGAGGCCCAAGTTTTTGTTTTTCATTCCTATAGATGCATTTTGTAGCTTTCTTACATACATATATATTAGATAAACGGGATATAAAGATAAATTATATAAACGAGATCATACTGTATATGTGCTTTTTCCTGTTTAACATGTTTTTGAGATTTATCCATCAACTTTAGCTCACTCATTTTAACTGCTGTATATTATTTCATTGTATGAATTGCACTAAAATTCACTGGTTAATTCCTCCTGTTGATAATTATTTAGTTTGTTGTTGTTGTTGTTGTTACCAACAGTACTCAATGAACTTCACATGTATTTCTAGTGCACATTCTCTCTTGACGATATAACTAGATGTTGAATTTCTTAAGAGAACGAGAATGAATACATAAACAATCCTAGTAGATAGCTCTTTTTGGTTTTATTCTTGTCCCATCTTCATATCCCAGCCTGCAGGGCTGAATTTGTTTCTATTTAGTTAACAGAGCCTTAGGAGGCAAGGAGTGAGATTAAAAACAAAACAAAACAAAACAAAAATGAAACATCTGCTTCTTTCTGAACTGGCAATATGAAGCAAGCCCAAGGAAATAATGAATGCCAGTTATTTTCAGTAGCTGCTAGAATGTCTCAATTGAGATCATCATGACCTCTTCTCTATGCCACCTGTCTATCAGAATCTATGGGCATTGTGATGGTTTTTACCCATAACTTCAAGAACAAAAGGTTGGTCTCAGTTCATCTTGGCGGGGGGGTTGGCAAATGTTTCCTGTCAAAGGCCAGGTGGTAAATATTTCAGGCTTTGTATGCCTTATAGTCTCTGCCACAACTACTGAACTTAGTCTTTGTAAAATTAAAGAAGCTATCGGCTATGCATAAACTAACAAGCATGGCTGTATGCCAATAAAACTTTATTTACAGAAACAGGAGCTAGGCCAGATTTGACATGCAAGCAGTAGTTTGCCAATCCTTGTTCTAATCAGAAGAAAACAATGTAGACCAGAAACATGTAGTATTATATACCCAAAGTTTATCTATTATTTTTTTCCTTTTTGATGGGCATCATCCTAAAAATTGGTCACACCTAGCCCTGTTGAAAGCATGGAAAAATAAATACTTTTATATATACCACTGATAGGAATGGAAACTGGTGCGTTCATTTGTTTCTTCAACAACTATAAATCTGTAACAGCCATCATGGGCCACATACTCCACTGGATACTGGGGACATGGAAATAAAATGCATATGTACCCAACACTCACAGGCTAGTGTAGACAGACATTGAAATAGTTATTAATTGCTTTAAAATGTGGGGGTAAAATGGATATTGTGTGAAACATTATATAATTGTGTATATAGAGAACATATTTATAGCGGCACACATATATCTGGCCAGTAAGTCATTACAAATAAGTAACCACATGACTCCAGTCTGAGGCATCAGATGTATTCTTAATCTCTTGATGGAATATCATGAGGTTTAGGGGACCAAATCCAGGCTGAAGTCCATCTAACAGACCTGGTCTGAGTCTCACTGCTAGCACTTACTATTGGTGAGACCATCATTCTACCTTTATTTTTCTAAGCGTCAGCATCCTCTATCAATGGAGATTCTAATAGCATTCATTTTTAAAAGACATTTATGGGGGTGCCTAAGTGGCTTGGTTGGTTAAGTGTCTGATTCTTGATTTTGGCTCAGGTCATGATCTCGGGGTCATGAGATTGAGCCCTGCATTAGGTTCTGCACCGGGTGCAGAACAAGAGTCTGCTTGTGATTCTCTCTCTCCCTCTCCCTCTGCCCCTCCCCACCCCTATCCATTTGCATGCTCGTCTCTTGCTCGTCTTAAATGTGCAAAGATGTTTATGAACATTACATGAAATAGTACAGGGGAAGCACCTAGCACATAGTAGGTTCTACACAAATGGCAGCCAATTACACTTTTTCATTCAACAGCATTTGCTGAGTGCCTCCTAAGTTCCTGGATTGATCCCAGATATGAACCTAGGACTGTCACTATCCTTATAGTCTAATGAGATGCCACACAAGCGTTCGGTCAGCAGGTAACTTCAGAAACTGCACAGTCCAGGTATGATAGGTAATATGGACAATTCTATAGAGTCCTCAGCCTGCATCTCCCCCCAGGGGTGACCCTTCATCCCTGCTCCTCACCCTTGCCACAAGCTCTATTCCCCATGACTCTGAGAGACTGGGAGGGGTTAATCTTATGCGTGATTTTGACTGGGCCACAGGGTGAGTATATGCCAGATATTTGGCCAAACATTCAGGTGTTTCTGTGAGCATGTTTTGGATGAGATTAACCTTCAGCTTCATAGACTGGGTGAAGGAGATTGGCCTTAACCAATCAGTGGAAGGCTAGAATAGAATGAAGAGGTTGGCCCTTCCCTGAGTAAGAGAGAATCCCTCCTTCCCAATGACCTCTGACCTGGGATACCAGCTTTTCTGTACTTTTGGACTCAGATGGAAACATTGGCTCTCTAGTTTGGGTGTCTAGTTTGCTAACTGCAGATCTTGCTACTTCCAAGTCTTTATAATTGCAAAAACCAAGTCCTTATAATATATCTCTTTATAAACAAACACAGACACACACACAGCTGCATGCACACACTCATCCTATTAGCTCTCTTTCTCTGGAGAACCCTGACTACTGTAGAACAGTTCTTACCCTGAACTGCTTGCTCCCAGTTCCAAGGATAACCAAACTCTAGGTTGCCAGGACAGTTATGGGCTGTGTGGCACCCCCTGGAGTTGAGCAGTGCACAACCTGCATGATTGTACACTGCAGCTGTGCTCTGATCTCCCACCGTAACAACTCTACCTCCTCTCGCAAGGCCATGTACTCAATACTCAGGAATATGGCAATGGCCTACCAGCTCCAAATGTCTCCGACACCTTACCTCCAGGCACACAATGGAAGCCGTCTCCGTGATAACCAGGTTTGCACTGGCATGTGAAGGAGCCTGGAGTGTTGTAGCAGAAGGCATCAGGGTGACATTGACTTGGCTGGCATTCATCCACGTCTGTAAAACAGCCATGAAGCCCAGGGACAATGAAATATCTTCTGGAATTCATAGTTTACACAATCATTTAAACCACTTGCTCAACTCTGGGGGACTCTGTTTCTGCTCCAGGAACAGTGATTTTAAAATTTACTAAACATTACTCATCAAAACGCCAACTCCCCAATTTCTATCTAGCGTATTTTTAAATGTGTTTCATTTGAATGATAATGTTTTTATGGAAAATCAAGCAAGCCAAAGGAAAAAAAGAGAAGACTGTTTTGCATTATTAAAGGAGCCTGCTTATCACAAAGGAGAGCTACAAAAATGTCTAAGAGGTTGGAGGCATTATTAACCCCTGACAGAAAAACCTCAGAGACAAGACAAGAAAACTCACATGTTCAACGAAAAGTAGCTCAGGAATTATCATCTTAGAAAAGCCTGGCCTTTGCAGGAATACCATATTCTGTAATGTTAAGTAATTTTGCATATCAAGGGGTCAGGGTATTTTTTACAGTGATCTTATCTACATCATCTTTAAGAACATCTTGTCAGTCAACAATGAACTGACCTCAGGTCTAAAAGAATTCTGCATCATCAGTTATTCTCTGACTCTGTAGTCATCTATTCAAGAAGGGGACTTGGCTTATTTTGAAGCAGAACGTGAGAGGCGGCCAGGTGGATGACGATATGTACTTTAGTAAACAAAAAGCTGGACCTCATGCCCCATGTATACAAGGATTGTTTGCCTTTTCATGGAAGAAAACTCCTCAGTTCCTAGCAGACAGCAAGGGTCTCATTGTTGCCTAAGTGAGCTAGTCACATAGAACAAAATAGTAGAGGAGGAGGGCTAAGTGTCTTCCCCAGGAGAAACAGCCCTGAAGGAAAATGGAGGGTTCACACTATGACAGAGAGACAAAACGCAGCCCATTTACCCAACAGAGTTGAAAGAATAATTCTCTTAATTTCTGGGTTAGTAGGAATAGGCAAATGAGATTTTTTTCAGGTTACACAGGGCGAAAAATCAGAGCAACCACGCACCTTGGCAGGCTCGGCCATCCCCAGAGAAGCCTGGTAAACAGGAACAAGTGTAGGAAGACCCTCCCATGTAGATACACTGGGCCCGCTGGGGTATGTCACAGTCATGTAGGCCAGTTTCGCAATAGTTGATGGGGCGTTGGTCCACAGTAGCTTCAAACAAAAGGTTGACACACGGTGTTTGAAGAGAGGCTGCCAAGTGGTCCCAGTGCCCTTCTAAGTTCCCTCTGCATCACTGGTTTAGTCCACTGAGAATGCACCTAGATCTCGGACCTCCAGACTGCTTGCCAGGCTTCCTCCTCTGCTTCCCACTGTGTTGATATCCCTGGATTTCCTGTTTTCTCCCATCTGCCTCTGAATAGTCTGCACAGATGGACACCATGGCTGGTCGTTCCACCTGGTGCCCAACCCCTGGGGCTCTATCTCAGGCCATTCTCCATACCAGCTCTCCCAAACCCAATTTTCCTTTCACCTAGATGTGGAGATGGGCCATCTACAAGTGTATGTACACACTTCCTGTGGTGACTCTGCTGGAGCATTTGGAGCTAAGGATCTGAGACTTCCACATGGTGTTTGTACCCTTGGCCCACCAGGCAGGTAGACCATGGACCACAAATGCTGAAGTCAAAGTCACCCATTTCCCATGAAGGAAGGAGAAATAAATTTTTCCAGGTGTCGTGGAAAGACTGTGGGTTTTGGGGGTAGGCACCCCTGGGTTTCTACTAGGTACACGTGGGTCTGCCACGTGACTTTGGATATGTTATATAATTTCTCAGAGCCTCACATTCTTCCTCTGTGGGAATTACTTCCTGCATGCCAAGCATAGGGAGGCTCAGTAGATGGAATTACCATTCCCTACAGCGTCTTAATGATAGAACTCAGAGAATGAGGGCTCAGGAAGTAGGTGAGTGACCTAGGGGATGGCCAATAATACCAAGATGGTATTATTTTTTTTTTTTGAGGGGGAAAAAAGCCTTTATTGATAAATAGTTTACAATGAAATAAATAGAGTGACAGTTTGTTGGAGAATAAAAACTCAGGCAGAACCTCAGTGTCTCCACCCAAGCTCTAGCTCTCAGTCTCTGCCTTCCTACTGGCCAGTTTGGATGAGGAGGACTTGGTGGGCATGCCAGCCTTCCTAGGGCCCCTGAGGGCCTCTGTCTTCCTGGCCAGGTGTTCAGGCAGCGTCTTAGACCTGCCACCATTCGGAGGAGCAGCAGCCTTGGCTTTAGGTCCCTCCTTGGCCGCATGGGCAACGACTTCTTTAGGGACACGGTTTTCCTTCTTGGCTGGAGAAGCAGCACCATTCGTGCCCTTGGGGATGGTGGATTTTGAATTCTGACTCCCAGCTTTTGTTTTCCTGTGGGTCTCACCACCTTGGCTATTCCTCCTGCCTTTGACCTTTGACTTCCCACTGGGCCCCGTGGCCCTGGGAAGGGCCTGCGCGGCCTTGTCTGGCTGAGGCCTCAAGGGGTATTTTCAATGGCTGGTACAGGTTCTCTGGGCTTCCCAAGGCACTACTTAGCTTCTGGTTTTAAAGCTCTAAGACCCAGGACAGAATCCTCTCCCTCAAAACATCAGGACAAAACCTCTTCTTCCCTCCAATGAGTCCCTCAGTGTCTGGATTATCCCAGAGAAGGATGTCCTCTCTTCTTTGTCCTCTCCACTGAGTCTTCCCAAGATTGATTCCAGTCTTTCTTGTCCTTGAGAGAGAGAGAGCTCTAAGCACTGTCAGGGGGCATGTCAGGGAGAGGATACTCTTCAAAGGTCTATGGGAAATAAGAGGAAAGCACTGAAGGCTGGACATCCAGCCTGTGCACTTGGTACCTTAGACTCCTGAACTCAGAACTATTAACTGACTCCCTGGAACAGGTACCAGCAAATCACCTCTCATGGGCCATAGGGTCACTGGATTTTAAATTACTACAAGTGATCCAAATTCCTGTCTGGAAAACAGTCACTCAGATGATACCTAACAAGTCCAAGAACACACTCTGCTTTCTAGGAACCCCCAAGTGTAGGGAAGTACATGCAGACAAAACAACCAAGAAACGAGTTTCACTCTGCTTTTTTTTCTCTATCTCTTTCAACACATATATATCTCACTGATAGCTTGTCAGTGGTCATTTTATAAGTGATGTTTGCTCATGGATCAGTTTGCTCCACTCTTATTAGCAGAGGAGCGCATCAATACAAGGTAAGCGGGCATAGGCTTCAACGTTCCCTCCCAGCAGTCATCGTCACACCTGTGTTTCTAAAATCCTCGAATCACTTCTAGAAAAAAGCAATTTATAACTGAATTTTTAAAATACATTTTTCTTTACATAAGACCACTTTTACACACCAAAGCAGTTTGCTTCTTAAAGAAGTTTTTAAAAGTCAGCTTTATAATCCCAAACGGTTTAGTTCCACCTTTTAAATTTTTATTTTATTTTATTTTAGATTCTATTTACTTACTCATGAGAGAAACACAAAGAGAGGCAGAGACATAGGCAGAGAGAGAAGCAGGCTGTGGGGAGCCCGATGTGGGACTCGATCCCAGGACCCTGGGACCATGACCTGAGCCAAAGTCAGATGCTCAACCACTGAGCCACCCAGGCATCCCTACTTTTCTATTTTTAAAATAAATGATGCATTTTTAAAGTGAGGTTTCACATCAGTTAAAAGGGAAAAGCGTCAGGACGCCTGGGTGGCTAAGCGGTTGAGCGTCTACCTTCAGCTCAGGTCATGATCCCGGGGTCCGGGATTAGTCCCGCATCTGGCTTCCTGCATGGAGCCTGCTTTTCCTCCTTCTGCCTATGTTTCTGTCTCTCTCTGTGTCTCTCATGAATAAATAAAATCTTAAAAAAAAAAAAAAAAAGGAAAAGTGTCTTCTACAGTTCTCCACAGCCAGCACACAATCCACAGCCATGGCAGTGGTCCTTAGTTCTCAGGACCATCAAGGAGGACAGTGGCTGGCCCATCCCTGCAGCAGAGAAGCAGCTGCCCCAACAACCTAAGCCACCAGAAGGGCCCCCAGGATGCCTGGCTGTGCTTTCCTCAAAGGCTCCCAACCCCACAGAATTGGCAATTTCTCTACAACTCTGATCCCTCCTGTTCAACTAACAGGAAGCTACATGGGGGGGGGGGGGGGGGCTTTTGGAAAGGTGAGAAAACTAGGCCCAAATGAGTATTAAAAATTAACAAGAGGGGCACCTGGGTGCCTAACAATATCACAGGCAAGGAAGGGAGAACATTGGGTGAAGCAAGGCTAAACCTAAGGCCCTCTTCCTGCCCTGAAGGATGGGCAGGTTCACAGTATTGTGCACTGCGCAAAGACACCCACGTGAGCATTCAATGGAACCTCAAATTGTCCCACCTTCTACACACAAAGCCACATATCCTAGGGCTGTGGCCTCAGAGGGTGTATCTATGTCTTCACATAAAGGTGATTTATAGGCTGTTTCCTTTGTGTGAATATTCTTTGCACATTCTAGTTAACTGTAAAAGTTGGCCTGTAGTGGAAAAGAGAAAGGTCATGGGTTTACAAAAAATGCCGAACGTGGAGTTCCATGAGGCAGCTCCTCCCAGGAGGGATCCTCAGGAAAAGATAATCACTTCTGGCCAGCCCACATCCACTGCATGAGCCCCAGCCCTTCACAGCTGGCAAGGTACAGGGGCTGTCTCCCGAACTGTCCAAATTCTCTTCTCTCCCTTTCCTGCTGTGACCTGGAGAAAATCTTTCCAACTCAGGCTTCCAACACTGGATACAGTTTTAATGAGGAATTTCAGCAGAGGTGAAGCTGCCCGTTTGATTATTCAGTGACAAGCCAGAGTGATTTGTTTGAATACATTTAAGCAGACTTGGCTTTACCCCGTGAGCCACCTCTTCACACAGTGAGTCTCATAGGAGCTGAATAATAGGGGTGAAGAGCCAAGCAGGATGGAATTGTGTGGGGCATACAACAGGGGGATAATCAGGAAACCTCACGATGCCAAGCCCCGGGGACACACAATGATCTTCACATTTGTTTCTAAGCAGTAGGATCCACTGTTCAAACAAAATGTCATTCAGAATTTGATGTATGGAATGCCTGGGTGGCTCAGTGGTTGAGTGTTTGCTTTTGGCTCAGGTCATGATCCCAGGGTTCTGGGATCAAGTCCTTCATCGGGCTCCCCACAGGGGAGCTACGCTTCTCCCTCTGCCTATGTCTCTGCCTCTCTGTGTCTCTCATAAATAAATGGATGAAATCTTTAAAAAAAATTTTTTTTTTGATGTATAGAGAAATGAAAGGCTGGAGGTCGGGGCAGAAGACAAATCTGCTCAGGCTTCCATGGATCCTCACTGGCAGCTCCTGAGGCATCACGAAAGGCTCCAGGGGACACGATGAACTCATGATCCAGTCCAAGGAACTGATGTCCAGACACGTGAAGTGTCTTCCTCAAAATCCAATGCCTCGGAGTAGACATTTGCACCCCACCTGCCCTACAGGGAGTGTGCACGTTGGAAGTGGTTGGACACAGAAACCCAGGACGTCATGCCTCACAGCCATCTACCCCAGGACTGCACCCTCCACCCCTTGAGTCTGACTCCAAATGTAATATAAATGGTGCTGTGAACAAATAAATAAAATCTTTTAAAAAAGTAATTAAATAAATGGTTGCTGTCATGAAAAATAAACGTTCAAATCTCCTTTATTTCAAAAAGCAGGGAAGGAAGTCACACCAAATACCCAGAAATGGTTGTTCTCTATTGAAAAAGAAAAAGAAGAAACCTTAGCAGAGCTGACATCTGCACTCTGTACAAAGGGGACTGGCTTCTCTAAATCCACAGATGTTTGGGTCCTATTCAAACTATGAGAACTGCCTGTTCCCTTCCGCCCTCAAGACATCACCTCGCCCTGGGACCTCGGCAGCCTCATCTGAGCTTCAAGACAGAGCCAACAGAAAGCACACTAGGCTTTAGTAACAGTAAGGAAGAGGCAAGGAGGTGGCTCACTGATGCCACAAAAGAAGACTCTGTTCTAAATTAGTTAGAAATGTGGAGTTCAGATGGCCCATTCAGCATGCTGCCCTCCAGACCCAGAGATCTCCAAGAAGCTTTGAACTTAAAATTCTTGGAACCAACAGGTCAAAGTGGTGGCAGTAGGAAAAAAGTGGAAAAATCAAAACAATCTGGCTCTTTGTGGTTGGCCTATCACCACCACCAGCCTAAAGCATTATTAGCCCAACAAATAGCTTCGACTCATTTACTCGGACAAGGCTAAGAAAGTTATGCTACCACATGTGGCTTATAACATCGAAATCCACACAGAATGGCCCTGAGTGAAATTTTAGAGGTAAATCAGGACAAATTCCATGTAAGGCAGTAATGACCCAAGCATCTATTAGATGCTTCCTGCACGTGAATCTCGAGACCACTAATTAGAAGGAGAAAAAAGTCTAATGGTCTTAATAGCTTTTAAAAATACAATGAAAAGAATTAAAAGGCATTTTATAAGAAGGGATGTAATGCCAAAGCTTACAAGACGTGAGGTGACACAATGGCTAGTTCAGACAATAATGTTGCTTGTCACTTAGGTGATTCTCCAGGTGGGTGGAGGGAATTCATCTTTGGAAACCACTTCCCAAACAACAGATGCTGGCACCTGCCGTCTCATCCAGGATGATTACCTGGGGCAACACATTCACACAGGTGCTAACACACACTGCAAGAAGTATTTCTGAAAAGTTACCCACAGAACTTACCCACACATGTTCCCTCCTCTGAAAACTGATAGCCCTCCACACACTCGCAACGGAAGGTTCCGGGATGATTGTTGCAGATCGCATGGCTGCCACAAACCGAGGGCTGTTCTGAACATTCATCAATATCTGCAACGAATTTTTTTAAAATGTAGACTTAAAAAAAAAAACTTCTTCAAATATCCATTCTAAAAAAAAAAAAAAAAACTTTTCTATATTCTACAAGTAACGTTAATCGGATTTTTCTATTTATTTATTTATTTGTTTGTTTGTTTGTTTATTTATAATTTAGGGGATGGGAGGGGCAAAGGGAGAAAGAATCTCAAGCAGACTCTGCGCTTAGCTCGGAGCAGGCATATGGCTCCATCTCACGACCCTGAGGCCATGACCTGAGCTGAAACCAAGAGTCAGATGCTTAACTGACTGGGCCACCCAGGTACCCAAATAAGATTTTTTTTCTATGCATAACTTTGGGGGGTGACCTCAAGGCCTTCCTCCTATAGAAATGTACACTTCCCCTGCCTCTCCTAAGCTAGGTGCCAAGCCTGGGGTACACTAACATCAGAGTGCCAAATACACATTAAGAAGATGTGTAGACAAGTGTCCACTGTGAATATGGCTCCTAAAACTACAGAGCATAATTAAACATGCTACCCCAAGATATTTCCTTTCTCCCATTATAGTTACAAAGCCAAGTTGAACAATTTAAAGCCAAGTCGTGAATTTTGAATGCTATCTAGAGCATAACGCACTAAAAGAAAGACCATTAACTCATAAGGTTGTAAATGAACTAGGAGGGTGATGCCCTCTCATAGGACAACACCAAAGCCATCACATGGGATAATACGAGACCAAAGAAAACATATGCTGTGGAGTGGGAGATAGCTAGGCTCAAATCCTGCCTCCTTTAGTTACCAGCCTGTGTGTGGTCTTGGGCAAGTTACTAATTACTCAGCCTCGTTTGTAGAGTTTCCCAATTTGTAAATTAAGCACAATACTACTGATCTTGAGGTGTTCTAAGGATTACAGAGATTGGATATAAGCAGAGGAGCACCTGGTATGCTCTGGAGACATGGCTATTATTATAATTTTTAGGCATTCATCCTATACAACCAGTCATGGGGACAGATTTGGCTGATTCTAGGGACATGGCCCTCAGATGGCCCCTAGATATAAAGATGCAATCTAGTAGCTAACACCACAGCAAGCCCGATTGGCCCAGACAAGAAACTGAGCTAACTTGTCATTACTCTGATTACCTGTCCACAGATGGACTAAAATAAACACAATCACACCAGGTCTTTCACATGCCAACCTAATTCTCAGAGTGTATACCGTTACCTCTGGCATTTCTGGAACCCTGAGGCACGGGGACGTCATTTTATGATGGCTGAGATCAAATCCTCTCCTCTTCTCACCCTCCTCCAATGCCTTCATGTGAATCTTTCACACTTGGAAGACAAAGCCTCACTCATCCACCTCTGATGGTCAGCCAGCCCAGCCCACCTCTTCACTGGTGAGACAAACCCCCTACTGGCCTAGCGGACCACACTGTGTGAGATAAGCATTTTTGCCACATTGGCCCCATGGCTTGATCTATACTCATGCCAAAACCCAAACCAAATGATACTCAGCTTTTTCAAAATATGCTGCAGTGCCTGTGCCTGTGAATTAATTAAGATACAAGATCTCACCCAAGAGGACTGCTCCAGACAACCTGGAAGGTTGCAGAACAAAGCCCCTTCCCAAGCAGCCTCTTCTATGAGCTGGAGCTGGGGTGGGGGTATGGGGATATTCAGCAAGTGTGAACCCCATAGCCCCATCCACCAGCTGTAGCCCCAGCAACGCAGGAGAAAAAAAAAAAACATTCCAGCTATCACGGTCTCACTGCGCCATAATTCTCAGAAGACACTCCCCACACAGATGTCTGGATGCCCTGTACAGAATGCAGGACTCCAGAGCTTAGATTCAACTGCCAAAGCCCAAGAGTGCAGAGCAACAGTTTTCAATCAAAGGAAAGAGAAAAATCACCCGGGGAAGTCTTCCAAGGTCCATTCTCTGCCTGGATGTTTGTGGTCAGGGAATCTGTGTAGTTCAAAGAAGCTACTTCAGTGATCAATCCCTCACACCCTACCTACTGCTGGCCAATAGGATCCGGGGGCCCTGGGATAAGGGAGGGATGGCCCCCAGCACATGAAGGTGTAGATATATATACACGTATGTATATGTATATATATATGTATCTCCAAGCAGGGTGGAGCAAGACTCTAGCAGTTTCCCTGCTAATAGCCCACAGTCGTTATGTGTAGAAATTCTCCCTAATATCTAATTTAAATCCTCCCTTCTGTAAACTGAGGCTAGGACTTTAATCCTTCCTTTACTGGAAAGAGTGAATTGGCGATAGCCGCCCCTCACAAAATTTCACAAAATCTGCTTCAAGTTTATTGTTCTCTTCTCTGGGAAGAGATTTCCTTGCACAGAGATCATCCTCTAACCCAACAGGAAAGTCCTGGATTATTCTTGTAATTACTGCTTTCTTCTTTATTTTTTTTTTCAGAGTGGCTACTTTTAGATTTTCAACAAATCTAAATTTGTCTCTTTTCTCAAGGCCAAGCTCTTTGAGAAGAGTCTCATGACTGATTTGTTAAGTGCCTTGTGTGCACTCAAACAGAGATTATCCAAAACTATCTCTACAGACTCCCAATTGAGAAATATATGGAAGCCATTCTGCTAGGCAGCAGAACTCTATGATTTTTCTGGAAACCTTCTCCAAACCACCTTGGAGGGTCGCCATGCAGTGTCTAACCAACACTGGGCTTGTTGAGGGTGTCATCTATCATCACGTCAGTGTTACACAAACTGAATTACAAAGGCTCATTCTCATTCTCCTCAAAGGCACTTTCCAGGTCAAAATAATACACGACATGATTTGCTTAATGCAATTTCCTATTAACAGCCTAATGTCTCAATGCATTAACACTTTGAGGCATGTTCTAGTGACCCAGAACAAAAGGTAGCCTAACTGGGAATATACTCACATTCCATGGTGCTAATCTGCCAGAATGAGGACTAACCAGAAAACAAAAGCAAGTCTGCACATGACCACCTGTCTTCCAGAGCGGGCACATCAGAGGGTTTTCTATGATAGCAACAGATAATGTAAGGTATGGCTGGTTGTGCCTTGTGAAGTGAGGCAGGCATTCCTACTATGAGATGCTAAAGTACAAGAGTGGAAGAATTAGCCAGAGGTCATGGTACAGCAGCAGTGGGTTGTAGTATCTCCATGCTTTCCTAACATTGAGTTGGCTTATGAAGTTGATGAAGAGCCACATAAAGACTAAGGAGGTACATGCTTCTAGCAGAGAAATTAGGGAGCCCCATCCCTGCATGGTGTCCATCACCATCTTCACGGCCTCAGGAGGGTTCTGCTCACAAGAACACACTTGTGTGCCCATGTGTGCATGTGCACCTGCGCAGTCGCATGTGTGTCCACACATGCGCACACACACACACACACACACACACACACACACACACAGTACCATGCTGCTTCAAACTGGCCTGAACCAGTTCAGTCATTCAAGATTGTTGGGCTATTTTGGGAAATTGTGGAAAACTCTGATCATTAGAGGCAAGTAGGAACAATGTCCCCTTCCCAGTTGTATGTTACCAGGAAGACGAGCCTCAGATTGAATTCTACCACCTGTGTAAAGTCATCAGCTATCTGGCTAAACAGTTCGACAGTCTTTTCCTGTAAGCCCAAGTCCCTGCTCCCTATTATTTCAGATGGCCCACTGAGCACCTCCCATAGAGTTTCACCCTGAGCCAAATAAAGCAATATACTGACAGTAGGATCCGCCAAACTTTATGTTAAATCAGCACATGAAATCTGCCACTAATCAGAGGGTTGGGTTCCAGACCTAGGGCATTGTCCCCCAATGTCAAGGCTGCCAGGCTCACCAGATTCTTATATTCCATTCAAGGGGTTGCTCATCTTTCTAGCCAAACATCCATGTGCATGCCACTCTTTCACTAAGGGAACTTATTTCTAGCACTTCCTACATTTGCTAGTGAGCCCTCTGCTGCAGATTTAAGTGGCTCACCTTGAAGCACTTGACATTCTTATACTAGTTGCCCCTGCTATATGGACTCTTCACTGAATTAGGAATCAACTAACTAATCCTTGGTAGTGGCCTGAAATTTAGTCACAAGCATACAAGCTGTCTATGTGTAAGTGTTAAAAATGAAATTATAATTAAGAAGTTCACTGAGAAGCAGCATATGCATGTTTGAGTCAGTTAAGTTCCAGTGTTTCAGTGTCACTGGCTCATGTTGATGAGTCTCACTGATTCTCAGCTATAGAAGTAGGAATGGACCTGCCACCCAGTGGAATGGCCACTACCAAAATAAATATGTAAATAAACCACAGGAACACGAATTGGCAAGAATGTGGGGAAAATGCAGCCCTTGTGTGCTGTTGGTAGGAATGTAAAATGTTACAGCTGTTGTGGCAAAAAATATGGAGATTCTTCAAAAAAAATCAAACATAGAAGTACCCTATGATCCAGCAATTCCACTTCTGAGTATATATCCTCAAAGATCTGAAAGCAGGGTCTCAAACAGGTATTTGTACACCGATACTCATGACAGCATTATTCACAATAGCCAAAAAGTTGAAGCCACCCAGGCATCCACAGATAGGCAAATGAAGGGGAAAAAAATGGTAGTGCATGCACACCATGGAATGTTATTCCCGCCTAAGAAGGAAAAGTTCTGACCCAGGCTACAACACACTCGGAGGAGCCTTGAGGACGTTACGCTCAGTGAAATAAGCCAGTCACAGAAGGACAGGGACTGTGTAATACCACTCTATGAAGTACATAGAGTAGTCAAATTAATACACAGAAAGTAAAATGGCAGTGGCCAGGGGCTGATGGGGGTCACACAAGAGAATATGAAACTATTGTTTATTGGGGACAGAGTTTCAGTTTGGCAAGTTGAGAAGAGCTCTGGAGATGGATGGTGGTGATGGCACCACTATGTGAATGTACTTAATACCATTGAACCATATGCTCAAAAATGGGGTAAAACCACAAATTTTATGTGTATTTTAGCACAATTAAACATAATTTTTATTTAAAAAATTTTTTTAAGATTTTATTTATTTATTTATAAGAGGCAGAAACATAGGCAGAGGGATAAGCAGGCTCCCTACAGAGAGCCCGATACAGTACTCAATCCCAGGACCTGAGCCAAAGGCAGATGCTCAACCACTGAGGCCATCCAAATACTCCTAAACATAATTTTTTAAAAGGCAAAAATGAAAGCATCAATCTCAACAGAGTTGCTGGAAGAAATGAGACTGTGTTTGTGGAGTATCTACACCAAGAAAGCCTGGGCTCATTACAGTTAGTTCTTTATTATTAGTGTGATACACAGCACTGACTTTAGCTTCCCTTTAACGTTGTGTGTTTTTAGGGTGCCTGGGTGGTTCAGTCAGACACTGGTGAAGTGTCTGCCTTTGGCTCAGGTCATGATCCCCGAGTTCCGGGATCGAGCCCCACATGGGGCTCCCTGTTCAGGGGGGAGGCTGCTTCTCCCTTTCCCCCTGCCTCTCCCCCAGCTCATGCTCTCTCTTGCCCATTCTCTCTCTCTCAAATAAATAAAATCTTAAAAAAAAATAATAGATCTGTGTGTTCTTAAGGTGAAGTAGAGCATGGCCTTGTGAATTCTCCTCTGCTGCTGGGAGTCTCTGCATTGGATCAGGTGGAAGAAAGGGACACTACTCCTGACATTACATGGCGACCCCAGGTGTGGGGCTGGGCACATCCACGCCTGCTCCCTCGCTGCATCTGGTCCTCTGGTTTGTGAACTCTGGATGCCTTCTCCTGGCCTATTTCCCAGCCCCCACAAGTCAGAATGGATGGCCATACCAGAGCAGGTCCTTCCGTCCCCTCGGAAGCCAATGGAACACTCGCAGGTGAACTGAACCCCGGGGCCAGGACGACAGGCCGCGTTGGTGTCACATCCATGAGTGCCGATGTAGCAAGGATTCTGAAGGGCATCAGGGGAGCCATCTGCAAAGGAGAGATATTGAGGCAAGTGAGTAATTCAGAAATGCCGGCAGAGAAAGGAAGGCCCAGCTAATGACCCAGAGAATGGCCAAGGGTTCCTGGAACAAGAAACCAGCCTGCTCCCGCGTCACCATGGGGCAGGATAGGTGAACTATCCCTCCAGATCCATGCCTGTTTTTGTAAATAAAGTCTTACCTGAAACCAGCCACATCCAATCACCTGCATATAGTCTGTGGCTGCTTTTGTGCTATGGTAGCAGAACTGAGATCTTGTGACAGACACCATATAGCTGGCAAAGCCTAGAGTGTTTGTTGCCTGGCCTTTTAAGAAAGAACGTACCACCCCCAACGCCTAGAGCTCTAGTTGTCCAAGGAGGGAGAAAGACACCTGCCCTGCTCCTGCCTTATGGAGCTAGGCAAGGACAAACTTGGTCAGCTGGGGAAGTGCCCTGGGTATGAAGGGAATACCAAAACAGCTAAAAAAGAGAAAGACCTTACTGCCAGACCCCAGATATACAGAGCCCCCGGAGCTCGAAGAGCTGCCATTCCTACCCCTCACGGGACCAATGGAGTTGCTTAGTGCATAGCGCAGGATCCTCTCCTCCTGGTTGTATAGCACAAACACGCTGTCCACAGAGAGCTGCTGGGTGCTGGGCAGGACCGGCTGGGAGGTGTCGTGGGCACACTCCTGGAAGGTGATGGTCTGGCGCCACTGGTAGGTGTAGATGTTGGAAGAGGCAGTACCACCTTGCTCAGGCTCTGTCACGGTGTACTCCCGGGTGGAGGAGGACGTGATCACTGGAGTGCGGTGGCAGAGAGAAAGCAGACAAGGTAGGGAGACAAATGAGGCAAAGAAAAGTCTTAGTCGAGGGCTTTAAAACCATCGGCGGTATTCCCTGTCCAGATGAGAGACTGGATGGAATGGGTTACATAAGACCATTTATTTCAGCATTGGGGCTCACTGTGTTACCTAGATTTTCCATATTATTATGGTATTGTCCATATTAGTCATATTTACTGCTTCCTCTTATCAAGTGTTCTTTGTAAGTTCTAAAGCCTCCCGGAAGCAACCCAGAGATAAGAGTTCTGCTGAAAGAGCACACACTTGAAAGCAGATACACCTGAACTTACACTTTGTACCACCACTCACAAGGTGGACAATCACAGGCCAGTTACAACTTCTTCAGCCTCCGTTTCTCTTACACTGTGGTTTGGGGTGAGGATGACATAATGTATGTAAAATTTCCGGACCCATGCAGGCTAGTACTGTTAAGATAAACTACCACTTATGGAGCACTGACCACGTGACTAGCAGAGAGCTAATGGCTTTATATAGGTTATCTCACTTGGGATTCAATAAATAGTGGCTGCTATGTATAACCCTAGATGAAACAGTTCTCTAATACAAAGAGAGAGAGAGAGAGAGACACTAAATGGGTTTCAATATCAATTTCTGAAAAATTACTAAAATGCTGTGAGCAAACCTTCACAGAGAACAAGACAGCCTTCCCTGCTCAGGAGAGAGCCTGCTTTTGACCCATACTATGAAACTTTCAACTTCCGATTAAAAAAAGAAGAAGAATAAAAGGTTCTTTATATTTGTGTGCTCTGCTGTAGTTCACAACAAAATCCAGAAGATAAATAAAATTAGTATAAGCTGCCTCCTGTCCAGCTCCCATGTGCTACGCTGCCAGAAACACCATCTGGTCGCAGGCTGACTGCAGACTGGGGTCCTGCTGCTCATTCCACCTCCTATTCACCAACCCTCAGCATCCCCAGGAGAGCTCAATCAAGCCACAAAGCCTTGGTAATTAGTACAACCTTTCTGTATGGCAATTTAATAAAAGCCTTTAAAAAGTTCCTATTGTTTGGCTCAGCAATTCTATTTCTAGGAATTGAATCTTAGAAAAGAATCAGAAATTTAGTCCAGACTTTTGATGATGGCCTTTTGACTGATTATGAGATGGGAAAATTGGAAATAACTTAAGCTTTAGAAAACAGAATGGCTTAAATTAACAGCTGTATAATAGTGTGGTATAATTGCAATTTCATTTAAATAAAATTGCTCTACCCAACTGTAGAACACGTAATAATATGGCATCAGTGTGAAATTTCTTGACTGTGATCATTGCACTGTGGTCACATAAGAGAATATAAAATGGGTGACTTATTTAGGGGGTGGAGGATTATAATGACTATAACGTACTCTCAAAAAAATGTATCATTTGATATATATATATATGAATGGTCAAGTAAATATGGCAAAATGTTAACAATTGGTGAAGTTGGGTAAATGGCCGATGGAACCTGTGCTACTTTCAACTTTTGTGTAAGTTTGAAATTATTTAAAAGAGTAAGTTAAAATAGAGATGTATACATATATACATATGTACATATAGTTATATACATATGAAATATCCATGGTATACATTACATCCCTAGGACTTATAAAATCTATAGTGAAATATTATATATATATATATATATATGTACACACAACCCAACATATGTGTGTGTATATATATATATATATACATACACACACACACACACACACATATATATGTTGAGGTATTTTTCTAATATTTTTATTTTTAAGCAATCTCTAAACTCAAAGTGGGGCCCACCCAACTGAGCCTGCCAGATGCCCCTGTTGGGATATTTTATATATAAATGAGGGACAGGCTGAAAGGAAATAATTTAAATCTAATAATAACTTTGCCCCAGTTTTACCACTATGTTTCTTTTTTTTTTTTTTTTGCACTAATTTCCTACTAGTGTGTACTATGTCTGTAATTAGGGGAAAAGGTGACTTTAATAAGCTAGCACCCAGATACTTCCCACTAGGAAGCCCAGGGGATGGCCCAGCCCCAGGGCTCCTGAAGCAGTGGGTAGGTCTGGAGCCAGTGGGGAGCTGGAGCTGTGCCCATACCCCTACCACTCCCCCACTTCCACCCCTCTCATCTCACCCCCCCACCCCACATGGCACTGGTGGCTCACCCCCACGAGAGTAGTGGTAGAGCTCTGTGTAGGGCTCGATGTGCACAGAAGAGCCAAATGGGATGTGCGGCACGTGGCCCTCCAGCTCCGTGTTGATGGTCAGGTGTCCATGTTCGTCGATGCCACTGAACTGCTGCTTGATGACCAGCTTGCCCGGATACCCCACAAAGGTCACCTCGGCCTGGCGGGTGAACTCACCTCCTGGAAAGCAACGTGAGTCATTTTGCTACCTGGGAAGGAGTAAAAATGACTCCTAGGCTCAGGGGTTGCTCATGATGGAGGCTCACACCTCCTCTACAGTTCGGTTGGCAGAAATGGAGCCCGTGATGCTGGGGACAGGGCTGGAACATCCCTGTGGCCCAACTGAGTCATGCACAGAGGAGGGAAGCTGCTTCCCAGCCCCACACCTGCATTGGAGATGGGCTGGCTCAGGACTAGAGCTGGACAAAGCAAAGGACCAGAGTTGGTCTCCCAGCTGTGCTAAGTACTAATGGAGCAAATCTGAACAAGTTACCTAATGTCCCGAGCCTCCATTTCTTAAGGATAAAAGAGTGATACATGCTATCTGCTGGAAACTAGATGAGCTAAAGTATGTTTAGAAGTGCTCTGCCAAATGTCAAGCTTTCCAAGATGTTAATTATGGTGATAACTATTGTAACACTTCAGTGTGCCAGTCAGGATGGGTGAGTTGCTCAGGGCAAACCATTGCCAATACCAGAAACCACCTGGGGAGTACTTACTAGGGGTGTTGGCTCAGGAACTCCCCTTGGTCTGTGCCAGGCTGCAGCCCCAAAAAGGCAGCAAAAATACTTCTCCTTCCAGCTTCTTTTCCTTTCCACATATGCATACTCCCATTACAGCTGGGGTGCTGGCACACTATGGACTCAGGGCTAACTCTGGCCACTCAGGCCCACAGCCCTTGAGCCAAGAATGCTCTTTACATTTTTAAATGGTTTATTAAAAAGTCAGAAGAATAATATTTCGTATTACATGTTATCATATATATTTCACATATATACTATGTGAAAATTACATGAAATTTACATTTTAGTGCCCATTAATAAAGTTTCATTAGGACACAGCCACACTTGCTCATATGACATATTATTTATGATTGCTTTTGCTCTGTGATCACTTAACAGAGTTGAGCAGTTACAACAGAGGTCATATGGCCTAGAATATTTAGGCAAAGCAAATGTTTACTATCTGCCCATTTGCAGAAAGTGTGACAACTCCTGCTTTATAGTACCCAAGTCCCAGGAAGATGTCCAAGTGCTAATCCACGTCCTGGGACATTTAAGGACCACAGTAGTAAAAGAGATTTACTGTGGTAGGAAATTTGTAAAGACTCCCTCAACCCTGCTGAAGTTGACGTTGTTACAAAATACCACCAGTTTAAATGAATCCACAGAGAGAGCAACACCAATTTGAAAACCTGTGCGGGGATGGAGTAGCGTCTGTGGGTCTGACTGCAAATCTCAGCTGTCAGGAAAGAGCATGTTTGCATGAGAACGTGAACCTGGTTATAATACTCAGAATATATATGCCTGAAGGATAGAGAAAAAATATTAGGCCATACAGTTGATATCTCATGGGTAGGTCCACCCTTTTTCAAATATGTATCCTCTCCTTTCTTAAATGGCCACATTGCAGGAAACTATGTATTTAATGTCCCATGACTTTTGGAGGGTTACCATGGCAAAGCCTAGAGACCCTGCTGCACGACCTTTTCACAATAATGCCATGGTTGAGGCTCCAGCAAGGTGAAGAGGTGGGGGAGAAAACAGATCTAGGTAGTCAGAAGCAGCAGATGGGTACCAGTGACCCAGAACAACAGGCTCCAAATCCTGGAAGTGGCTAGAGAGGAAGGACACGACACAGTCTCTTAAACCCAAACTATTCCAGGAAAAGGCCTCCAGCATGCACAGGGAAGCTGGCCTCAGCAGAACATGGGAGAGGCCATGACCACACTACAGAAATGTCCCCCCAACCATCTGCCCCCGGGTCTGCTAAAGACTGCACTGTCCCTGATAGGGCACAGCCTCTGGGAAAATTAGGTTTTCTAAGACTCAGGAGGATTATGTTTATCAGGCTTAATTCACTAGCTAGAAATAGCAGATTCCTTTTCTCCAAGCAGATGCTAAAGAAATGTCAAATATCAGATCAGATTGGTTGGGAATTTGAGGCAGGCTTGATAACAAAAGGAGGGAGACTGTCACAGCCCCACACTTTGGGGTTTGAGGATGTATGAGATGACATCATTTGCTCTGCTGGAGACTTCTAACTCACCATGAAATCACTCCCTGATCAAAATCCATTCTAGATAGCCTTCGTGAGTACACGTTCATGAAAAAAAAGTATTGACCATTTTACCTCAACATCTTAGGTCTAGAGCCACAAAATGCTCATCAGTAAGTGTCTGCAAACCTAGAGTTTCCTTACTATTAACCCCCAGGCCTCCCAGGCACACCTGTGGGGTCCACTGATTTTGCAGTTGAAGATAAATTACCTGTTATGCTGAACCCATTCTTGAATGCATCCTGTTCCACTGCAAACATCCATCCAATGATACCTCCGATGGGGGCCAGAGGAAGCAGAGAATAGCCTACGGTCTCGGGAATGGTGCTGATGGCTGTGTAGGAGCGCCCGTGGTTCATTACCACGTAAGAGTGGAGGTCGGTGTTCTCAAAGACGATGGGAACTGGGTTGTTCCCCACAAAGATCCTTCCTTTCACCTTGCCATTAACTCGCTGGGGGGAACCTGAGCAAGAAACAAAGAAGCCAGCTTTTTTTTTTAAAGATCTTATTTATTTATTCATGAGAGACACACACAGAGAGAGGCAGAGATATAGGCAGAGGGAGAAGCAGGCTCCCTGCGGGGAGCCCAATGCGGGACTCAATCCCAGGACCCTGGGATCATGCCCTGAGCCAAAGGCAGACACTCAACCACTGAGCCATCCCGGTGCCCCAGAAGCCAGCCTTTTAAAAAAGAGTAACATGCCTGGTGGGACCTGTACTCTAAAGCAAAGAGATAGAAAGGCATTGGGGTAAAGGGCTTTGGGATCATTGAGAGCAGTTGCCAGGAGGACAGTAGTCACAACTGTCTGTGAGCATTCGAAATTCCAACATCCTTCCTCTGTCCCATGCTGATCCATAATGGACAGCACAGAAGTAGCCCCAAGGGGAGTCACTGTGTGATGAAGGAGCTTCAGGGTCAAATTAAATCATCTTAGGAGAACGGTGTCACGAGTGATCTAGAACTAGGTGATCCTATCACTGATCACTCTTAGGTGTATAAGGGACGGAATTCCTAATTTCACTGGGTAGTCCTGGGAATCTGGGACATTTGGCAGCCTGATCTATCACACACCTTAATACACAGCTCTGGCTCAAATATGGTTCTATCACTGAGAGTGAGGACCGTCTGGGTCCCGGAGCTCCATTCAACCCAAGCTCCAACAGATGTGGGCACTGCAGATGTCACGGGACACACAGACATGGCCTCTGGCCCAGGATCGGCTCATGGACTGGGGTGTGTTTGTGGTTGACTGTTGCATTCAGAAAACTGGGAAAGATGTGAAACCTACTGTGGAAATGTAAAAGCCTTCTTCACAAGTTACCAAAGAATATATATAGAATAGTTTTTGTTTTAAAAACACACATTTAATAATAACACACATTTAATAATAAATGTTAGCATATACCTTGGGGAAAATACAAGAAGAGATATACACAAAACTGCTAACAGGGGTTAACTCAGGGCAATAGGGTAAACTTTCATTTTTCTGTAATACGTGCCTCTATGCTTTGTGAGTATTTATAACTTGCATACATTACTGTTTAATCAGAAAAATGTAAGATCTAAAGAAATTAAGTCGTTTTTGCATTCAAATAAGAAAACTGAAGGTTACCACATGACCCAGAAATTCCAACTCCTAGGTGTCTTCCCAAGAGAGCAGGAAACATATGTCCATACAAAAACTTGTACACAAATGCTCTTAGTAGCATTATTCATAACGGCCAGGATATCCGCTGCTTGGTATAACCACGCAACAGAATACATAGCTAGAAAAAAAAAGGAATAAAGTCCTGGTATGTGCCAAAACAGGGATAAGCCTTGAAAACACCAAGTGAAGTGAAAGAAGTCAGACACATAAGGTCACATATCGTATGATTCCCTGGAATGAAATGGAAATATTTTGGAAGAGGATAAGCCATAAGGGCAGGAAGTAGATGAGCTGTGGAGAGGGGTTAGTGGATACAGTGTTTCTTTCTGGACTGATAAAAATGTTCTACAGCTAGACAGAGGTGACAGCTGCACAACTTAGTGAGACTAAAATCCAGCAAACCATGTACTCTATTTTTTAAAAATATTTTTTTTATTTATTTGAGAGAGACAGAGAGAGATAGCAAGAGAGCAAGAGCGGGGAGGGGAGAGAGAAGCAGGCTCCCCAGTGAGCAGAGAGCCCAATGCAAGGCTCAATCCCAGGACCCTGGGATCATGACCTGAGCTGAAGGCAGACCCTTCACTGACCAAACCCCCCAGGTGCCCCAAACTGTGTCCTTTAACAAGGATGTTAATTATATCTTTAAGAAAACTGAAGGAAGGGATCCCTGGGTGGCGCAGCAGTTTGGCGCCTGCCTTTGGCCCAGGGCGCGATCCTGGAGACCCAGGATCGAATCCCACATCGGGCTCCCAGTGCATGGAGCCTGCTTCTCCCTCTGCCTGTGTCTGTGTCTCTGCCTCTCTCTCTCTCTCTCTCTCTCTCTCTCTCTCTCTCCCTCTCTCTCTCTCCGTGTGACTATCATAAATAAATAAAAATCAAAAAAAAAGAAAGAAAGAAAGAAAACTGAAGGAAGAGGTAAATAAATCACTTTGGACTGTTCAGGTTTGATGCAGAATTAAATTCGATCAGTTATTGATTGCACATACTTTCTCTTCATAGATTACCAGGGACAGGACTTTCAGATCCACCCAGCTCCTTCACCTGGCCTCAGCAGTTTTCTGCACCCAGAAAGTTCTCAGTAAAGTCTGTTGAATAACACTGGACACAGGGGCTTGCACCTGAGCATCATCGCTCATGATAAGAAAACCCTCTGCTATGTTCACTATGCCCAAGCTGTTAAACAGGGTCACTGACAAGCCAAGACATACTTGACACACACAGTGTTTCAGCACACAAACTGTGTCATTACATTGGGGAATGCTATGAAGTTGGAAGACTAATATCGAAAAAATGCATCCCCCAAACAATTACAGAAACAAGCAAGAAAGCCAAGTGAAGGAAACCAAACAAATTTTTTCCACCAAACCTTGAGCCAGAAAAATGTTTCAAAAGTAGCAAGAATCCAACAAATATGCAAACCACAGAAGTATTATGGGGCGGGTATATAATGTCAAAATATGCAGCTGAACAGTTTCTTACATCTAAGCTTGTCACCAAACACAAACTGCTCAGCATTTCCAGCTCTGATACTTGGCATGGAAAGAGGGAAGGAGAGGTTGCTCTTTAAGAATAAGCTTTCATTGTAAATTCTGGAAGTTTCTCTCCGGGTGAGAGATGTACAAAAGCCAAGCCAAAAACAAGAAACAGAGGCATACCATACTACCTGGGGTGGTGGGATTTAAAAGAAAACAGAAAACACACTTACAGAAGTTCAAAACATTTCCCCAAATTAACATGAAAGGTATACATAATCTTCTTTCAGCAGATGGTATTTAACAAAACTCCCTTTATCTCACTGCGATCTAGAAGGAAACGGGTTTTTTTTTTTAGCAAATTAAAATAACTGATTTCACTACAGCTATGGCCAGGGATGTGAAAAACAGAAACTGTTCCTCCGAGTTTCAATTAGTTAAATTTTGCAAAGTAGTTGAGTTTCTTCAGCACGAAGAAAATGACCAATGAGTGACAAGTGAGGTGATGTAGCACCTAAAAGGACCAATGTTCAGTATGGTAGGGTTTTTGTGGCTTTTGTTTTAATTTTAGTCTATGCCCCCAGGCTCCCAGAGGTCTTACTCTCTGAGTAAACAACTATTCTCTTACCCCTCTAGACTTCCACTGAGAAGTTTGTTCTGCTCACCTGAGAGCATCAAGACTGGTTGGTCCTCTTGGGGGTAGAGCTTAGAACTGATATTGACCCACAGCTGAATCCATTTTAGAGTCAGCCCCACAATGGTTTTGGTGCTCCAGAATTAACTGGTGTACCCCTTACGTTCCGCCATCATCATGCAGTGATTTCAGAGGCATGAAGAGAGGACAGTGGGAAGGGATGGGTGATTGGAATATACTTTTCCCTACTACAAATTTTGGTCCATGTCTGCCCACCATGGCTCTGCTGGAGTTAACAACCATTAGGACAGTCAGGCCTGTGATCAATGCCACATGGGAGGTTGGAAAGAAATGGAAGAAAATGAGAGGCATTAACAATGCCTGGCTGGTCCAGGCTGCATTATTTAAACACTTCAGCCTTTGTCCCATGTTAGGGGCCGTTGTGAAGATGGGCTCCCAAGGCATCAAGATGGAGAAAAACATAGCACAGGAAAGAAAGAGACCTCACTTTATTAGAAAAGTGGGCATTCCCTGAGAAAAGCCCTTTAGAGGAGTATGAGAAAAATGGGAATGAGATATTAAATATCATTTTAGATCTAGTATCTACTAAAAACACTACCCACCTTTAGAGACGTAGCCAACATTTCAAAACAAACACCATAACAAAAACTCCACTCCCTCCTTCTCCCCACACAAATGGGACACATCAAAGCCAAATACCTCATTCTTTTCTGAGAGAGAACAAGAGTGAGCAAGAGAGCACAAGCAGAGGGAGAAGGAGAAGGAGACAGAGAGAATCTCAAGCAGGCTCCATGCCCAACGTGGAGCCTGACACCAAGCTCGATCGCACAACCCTGAAATCATGACCTGAGCCAAAACCAAGAGCGGGACTCTTAACTGACTGAGCCACCCAGGCGATCCCAAAGCCAAATACCTTCTGCAACACATTGCCGGCCATTCCCAGTATAGCCCGCGACACAGCTGCAGCAGAACCCCGTGGCAAAGTCCCTGCATTCGGCATGCACAGAGCACTGGTGTCTGTTGTTGGCACACGTCTGGCGGGAGTCCGTGTTGTAGCTGAACACTGTTCAGAGAAAACACAGCACACCTGTAAGCACCCTGCATGGCGGTGGACCAGGCTTTATTATACTGTGTGCACTTGAGCCTCCCAGGAATTCCCACCTGCTCTAGTAGTGCTGACTACTTGTAGCTACTTAAGTCATATTGTGGCTCCTGTACTCAAACCACCAAGGCAAATGGGTCTAAAAGGAGTTTGAGAAATCACAGGAGTGAGTTATTAAAAAATGCTATAATCCAATGTACTGGATCACTGAATCAATATTATCACTGTATCCCTACTAGGTTACTGCCACCCAACATCAATCCATGTAATATAGTCAGATCAGCTTCACATTTTGGGACATATCTTTGATTTTTTTTTTTTTTTACTATCTTATTGTGGTAAAAAAAAAAAGATATATATATATATATATATAATAAAATTTCTCATTTTAATGACCTGAAAGTATTTTTAAAACTTCCCCATTCTTCTCCCAGGGGAAAACTCTGAAGCTCTTATACTGAAAAGCTGACTAGAAATAATTCCTTAGTCATACTTGGTCTAAAGGTCTTTGACTCAAAAAAACAAAAAGAATTTCTATTTCAAATTCCTACTTCCCAGCTTCGTTTTGTTAGAATTATGAACTGGCTCATTAAATTTAATAATCCACAGCAAATTAATTTGGAATCAGGTTCAAAAGCACATGGGGAGACATTTTAGAGGGGATAATGATCCAATTTGTGATTGACTGTGACAAGGGCAGATAAAAGTAAAGTTTAACGTCAGGTCAATTTGATTAGTCTACAAGCTCAGAAGGGAATTTCCGGTGTGTAAAGGTGGCGTTTGGAGCTCGGAACACTAGGACCTTGAGCTGAACACACAAAACGTGACTGGTTGCTTCAGCTCCAGCTGCGGGCCTGGCTCCCAGTGGGTCCCTTACTGCCTGCGTATCTGTGAGTGACTTTTCAAATAACACCAGGAATATACTGCTGACTATAGAAAACTGACCCTTCTACTAAAAACAGGGAAATAAAACCATGGGATGGAGGGACAGAAAAATATCTGTTTTAGGCACATTTGGAGTTCAAATTGAGGCTTTTTACCAGTACCAGGTAATATACCACCCCGAGTTGCTGGTGCTAGCTATGATCTCATTTCAAAGTGATGGCTTCACGGATGAGAAATTCACAGACACCTAGACAGGGGAAAAGCAGGATAAGACTCCAGACTCAACATCTGTGAGTAAACATAACCCCACATGTCTGGGGGACACCAGTCTGGAAGCAGCTGTAAGAGCAGAGTGTTGTTAGCATTGCCCCAGGAAATCCAGGGTGGATGGAGCCTGACACTGGGCTCAATCTCACAACCCTGAAATGAGACATGAACCCATGTTCTCATCATGCCATAAAGGGTAACTTCTCTATTTCTGTGCCTTAGAAGTAAGTAAGCACATTCTCCCTGGGCCACCAGATCTTGTGCAGGTTTGGGGATACTCCAAAAAGAACAAACATTTATAACGACTGCTATGAAACAAATCAGAAAATGTAAGGAGAAATAAAAATTGAGTGAATAATGTGCAATGGAGTCGATTTTTCTGGGGGCCTTATAAATTCATAGTAGAAGCAGGAAAGAGTCACAGTAAACATCATTTAAAGGCTTAGACTATCTCATGTAAATGAATGTTAACAGATCATATGTCAACCTGCTGAGCAAAACATAATTAACACAGTTTAATTTGAACATCTTTTATAGGACAAATCAAAGCATGCAAGAGCTCAAATGGTTTTCCTTCAAAATAGAGCAAAAACCCGACAGAATATGGTTGGCTAGAAAAGATTGTATTTTAAAATTATCTTTAAAAGGGGATCTATTTGTTTTGTATTTTGAAATCTTTAAACCCAGATTGTTTTGTATTTTGAAACCAACCCTGAAGCTGACAGGACTGGGGAGGAAAAATAATCAACCATCTTCACGCCAAAACCAAGAGGAAATAGACGTCAAAGATAAACTGCGTAAGTAGCCCAAGAACCTTCCAAAATGTTTTTTCAGGTGTGTGAATATATTTCTGATCCCAGAAGTCACAAATAAGAAAATCTGACTTTCAAAATACTTCCAAAGCCCTCTTCTCTTTCAAACAGACAAAAGGAGTCAGAGGAAACTTGAAAGAGCACCCGCTCGGCAGTTCCTGTGACCACAACCTTAATCCCCAAAGATCCCTTGGAGTCTCTGAAGCCACCAGGCCCATCCAGCAAAGTTCTACAGCTGCGATGGCCACCCCTACTTCCCCAGGTCTCAACCTTCCAAACTGCCATATAAGGCACACAACTGACCCCCTCCTGTCCTGGGACATGCCAGCTATAACGTAAATGGCCGTACCAACTCCTGTCTCCTCAACCTCGTCCACGTCTATGACCTGTGCATGCTGCTGGGGAAATGTCTCTGCTGGTGGCTGGAAAGACCTGGTCCTCTCCGTGGGAGGTCCGGGGTGTCTCTCAGTGGGCAGGCGGCGGGGGGAGAGGACACGGGGCATGCTGTAGGTGCCAGGGTCTCCCCTCCTCGGATCCTCATAGGGGAAGGGTGTCGTGCTCACGTCCCCCAGGCCCAGATGGGTCACCGATTCATAGTCTTCATCATCATACTCTGCTCCGTCATCCAGTCCAAGGCTCACGTCGGAGGGCACCACGCCGCTGGCTGTGGCTGGACTCCCGATCTCGAACACCCAGACGCCCTGCTGCCCAGAGTTGCTGCTCCTAGAGGAAGGACAGACTTCTTAGAAACAGGCCAGCAACCCACAAACTTCCCCCACTAACAAAGCAGGAGGAGCCCTTAGAATCTGCATGTCAGCCTGGAACACACTGCCTACTTTGTCTGAGTCTTTGGTTCTGGCATAAAGCTCCTAAAATCCTGCTAATCTCTGCAGTGTCTCTTGTATGCTGATGAGATGAGCGGTGGCTGGGACCCCAGAGATCTTCAGGATGAGGGCGGGACAGCAAAAAGACCCAGGCATGATTAGAGGGTTGGAGCTTTCAGCTCCACACCCTGACTTCGAGAGAGGGGAGAGGAGTTGGAGACTGAGTGAATCACCAATGGCCAAGAAGTTCATCAATCATGCTCATGTAATAAAAACCCTTAAACAATGAGGGTGGGAGAGCTTTGAGGTTGGTGAGTATAGGACATGCAGAGCTGGCATGGAAGCCTCAAGTCCCCTCTGCCTCTGATACCTTGCTATATGCATTTCTTCTACTTGGCTGCTCCTGACTTGTATCCTTTAAAATAAACTGGTGATAGTAAGAAAAGTGCTTTCCTGAGTTTTGTGAGCCATTTCTAGCAAAATTATAGAACTTGGCAAGGAGTCACAGAAACCCCTAATTTATAGCCAGCTGATCAGAAGTAGAGGTGGCAATGTGGAGCTTCCCCATAGCTTACATCTGAGGTGGGTGCAGTCTTGTGGAATCAAACCCTTAACCTGTGGGGTCTTTGTTCACCCTAGGCTGTCCGTGTCAGAACCTAGCTGAACTGTAGAATGCCAAATGGATGTTCAGAAAGTTAGGGAATTGGTTGGTGTAGGAAAAAAAAAAATGCCACCTATTTGGTGTCAGAAGTGTTGTGAGTGAACACAGTACAGACTTGGATTATCGGAAATGTCAACTCTAGCAGCTGTGGGATCTTGGACGGGTCTCAGTTTACCTTTTTCCATCCCAAGGGTATGGTGAAATGTAAATGAGATTCAGGATGTAAAAGACTTGTATAATTTTTTAAAAAGTACAATACAATGACCCTAATCTCTTCTTCCTTCTCCACCATGTTTACTGTTCTTATGCATCTGTGATTGGAAGTGCTCCTATCAGAAACTATGTAAAATGACCAGCTTATACAATGGAAAGAAGGAACAGACATTACTTAGTGGAGGATACTGAGCAAAACATTGGGGTGGGACAGGGAATAAGGAATCAAGAAAGGGGGATAAGGGGGATACGGAATCAAGAAAGCCCTGTAGAAACAGGGTATGTATTCCATCTGTCGGTCCCAGGACTCCAAGAGAGGCAGTGGTGTGCAGGAGCTTGCTAGCACCAGCTCATGAGAGCCAGCTGCTAAATTTTAATAATTTTGCAAGCCAGTTCTTAAACAGACCCATTGTAAAAAATTATATCCTATAAACTTACAATTAAACAAATTATATTAAAAACAAAGGCACTAAATACTTGAAACTCATCATGTTGAATTATTTAACTATTATCGATGTTCTGGAAGTTATTTAAGTCTACTGCATCCGTAGGGTAAGAAGAATGGTTCTCTTCTCAACTCCATATTGAGCAACATGACAAGGGTAGCTGGAAACTGGCCATGAGTTTCACACCACAGAAACAGGCGAGCACAATAAATGAGGGCTTTTGCCACCCACACAATGCCAGTTGCTACTCACACCGTTAAGTCAAGGGCAAGGGATTTTTAGATCCAATTGGGTAATATGAAATTGGGAGGGTGGTGTTCTTTTTTCACTTATCAAGGCACAATGAGAGAGAAAGGTTTTAGTTTTAGAAAAAAAGCAGTCTGAGTTTCCCCTGCTTTTGCCAAATTCTACAAAATAGCCCAAAAGAGCACTAATTCTGTTGTGAGAGTTTCTATTCTCATCCACGTGGCGGGGCAGGGGGTGTGAAGGGGGAGACGTTCTTTTCACAGCTGTGGGTTTATAGCAGGAGATAGGGTTTGAAGAGCGTTTATTTGTAACTTTATGCTTGTAGAGGAGATGGTAGCAACCGTTTCAAATGCGCATGCTATCAAAAAAAAATGGGATACCTGTTCATTGAAAGTGTATTACTTTGAATTCATCAAGGAAAAGGCACTATATGATATAAAAAAACTGTATAAAAAATTTAAATCTGTGAGAACGTTTTCAGGACATGTTCTCTAGTGCCCATTACTGATATATAATAATATATACAATCCTTAATAAAATAATAAAACCATCATCTTAATAATAAAATGATCATCAAGGGAGAATCTACTGAAGAACAAGGAAAGCATACTTGGCCAAATTTCCAATTGATTCTCTGTCGTTAGCAAATATATTGTATGCTCCTTCGCTCTTCCAGAATAATCCCTGGATGCCTTGACTGAATGCGACCACAGCAGGAACTTGATTCTCGTCCTTCTTGGAGAATGTCGTATAGAACTGCAGGCCATCTTCAGGATAGAGAAAAATGGCATAGGAGCTGTAATCGGAGGAGGCCAGAACAGCCTGGAATGTGTTTCTCTGCGAAGATGAGTTGAGACTCAGTTACTCAGGAATTGACCTTAAATTGTCCTATTCACCAGACTATCTAGACAAAGTCCTGAGATAGCAGTACTCTCACCTTATTCTAGAAGTATTTTTGTAGCAAGAGTTAGGCATTCCAGGATGGCTCCACTTAAATCTCTAAGGCTGGATCAACATGAAATTTTCCAATTAATTAATGAATACCTTCTCCATGAAGCTTAGCTGAAAATTATAGAGATGGTACCTCTACACTGGGGCCTAAATCTCATGCCACTAAGCAAATTCTTATCCTTAGAATTTGTTTCCATGGCCATTAAACATATTAACCACACTTATCATTTGTCATACATTTATCGAACCCAAGCAATGTACAGTCAGAAAAAAAAAAAAAAGAACATGAGCATTGGGAGAAAACAGATTTGAATCTAAATCTTTGCTCTACTCATTATGGGTTATGGGACCTCGGGCATGTTACTTAAATTCTCTAAGCCTGGATTTCTGAACCTGCTAGATGGAAAGAAAACCACATACATCACAGAAATGTTAGGAAACCTGTGTATGATATTAAGAGCCAGGCACAGAGAAAGTATTCCCTAAATGTTGTTGGTACCTTTCCTATAAATACATGGTCTCCACACTTGAGAATTTCCAGTTTGATGGGAAATTGACATGTGAAGAAAACATTGCAAAATGGGGGGACAGATTCTATAATGGAGTTGTGTGCAAGTGCTATAGAAGCCACAGAAAGAAGTGCCCAAACCTTAGGGGGCAGGAGCAGAGGAGGCTGTGTGAGTTTAGAGGATCAAGTACGAGTTTTACACCAGTAGTGGGGGCAGGCAGAGAGGGCAGCAAATGCAAGATCCCAGGGCCGGGCGAGATTCATGATCAGAGAATTATGAACAATCTTGATTCAGCTGTGGCAAAGGATGTGTGGAAAAGTAAGGAGAAGGGGAGATTAGTCCCAAGAGGTAGGCAAGGACTCTGTACAAGGGGTTGGGTGTTCATCACTCAAGGGGAAGGGACACACAGTTGAGAAATTTAAGAGTTTTTTTGGTTGCTGTTTTTTGTTAAAGATTTTATTTATTTATTCATGAGAGACACAGTGAGAGAGAGGCAAAGGGGGAAGCAGGCTCCCTGTGGGGAGCTTCATGTGGGACTTGATTCCAGGACCCTGGGATCATGACCCGAGCCAAAGGCAGATGCTCAACCACTGAGCCACCCAGGCGTCCTGAGACATTTAAGGTTTTAAGCAGTTTTTAAGTAGAGCACTCAGTTACAAAAAGCAAAATGTGTCCTACAGGCCTATAACAGGCTTTCCCAAAGTGTGTTCTGTGGGACAAAATGTATCTTACTAGGGAGGGAAAAAAGGAGTATGGCCAAAAGATTTGGGGACTGCTAAATTTTTTTAAAAAATTAGGCAAGTTTCTTTATTGCAGGACTTTTTGGAGCGAATCACCAGGGGGGAGATAACGTTTTGCACTTCTCAAACTTATTTGGCCAGGGGAGGTCTTTTGTTCAAGGACTATCTTATAGGACTGGTGTTCTGTGGAACACACTTTAGGAACTACCGACCTAGAACATCCTCTGTTTAAATGGAGTGCTTTTGGATCTTTCAAGTTTCTCTCTACTCTGTAATACTATAAAAATCAAATAATGGTGGAGCGAAATTATTGTTTCTAAGGAGAAACAGAGGCATGTCCCAAAAAGTGACTTTAGATGTAGAGATGGCTTCCTTGACCTACTCAAGAATCTCTCTTCCTTCAAGGAAGATCAAAGTATATAAAACCAACCTATTGACAACCTTGTACTTGGAAGAGTGCTTACCTTGCCTTCCTGGTCAGGGTCCTTGCTGGGCCCCTGGTAGGGGGCTACAGATTCCCAAGTGACAACCACCACACTACTGGGCTGGAAAGAGACTTCTGGGAATCCTCTCTGGACACACTCTGCAGCCAGCTGAGTGACAGAGGGTGATAAGTCTTCCCGATAATAAACCTTCCCAAGGCCATCTGTCGTGTCCAAGTCCGCCAGAAAAGGTGCGATTACTCCGAAGGTTGGTGGGAAGACCCCAGGATAGGATTCTTTGGCTGGGGGTTCACTCATGGCAATAATGCCATTTGTGGTGACCTGTACAAGAGAAAGCATCGTTAACAGGAGAGTGGGGAAAGAATTCTTCCTCAGGAACTCTGAGCTTCCACTCACAGAACACTGTTCAGGTACCCCCAGTTTGTCAAATACAACAGAATTGGAGAAGGACATGATCCTGAATTATAAAATTCAGCACTCCTCTCCTAGGCAAGATGGCCTGGTGGAAGGAGCATGGTGCAAGAATCACAGGACCTGACTCTGACATATACCCATCAATGGGCCTTGGACATGTGTCTTGAACTTTGAGTCCTGGGCTTCCCACATGTGCGTGCTTTGCAGCATGCAAACCTAAGCCATTATTAAAGCCTTCACTAATTTACCCAACAAATTGAGTGACCATTACATACCAGGGCTGTACTAACTGCTGTGGGTCCCAAAATGAGTAGTACACAGTCTCTGCCTTCAGGGAACCCACAGTCCAGAGGGACTGACCTACATGGAAGATGATACAATGAGTAATGGGTCAGGAAGTAACTTTGGCAGCACATGGCTGGCTCAGTCCATAGAGCATGGGACTCTTGACCTCAGGGTCATGAGTTCAAGCCCCACTTTGGGCCCAGAACCTACTTTAAAAAATAATAAATAAACAAATTAAAAAATTGAAAGTGCATCTCTTGAGAAAAAAAGTAAATTGGAATGGGGCATTATGATATCATTAATTATTAGGAATAGTTTAATGTGTCAGAATAATAGCTAACACTGAATATTTACCATGCTCCAGGCATTTTATTAACATTTAATCCTCAGAAGAACTCCATAAGATTAGATACTACTATTATTCACATTTTTCTCATGGGGCAAGTGAGGTATGTTAGATTTATCCAAAGTTACCAATGAGTGACAGCACTGGGATTCAAACCCAAGGGGCTGGACTCCAAAGTTGGCCTTCTTCATCCCTACATACAGCCTTCTTGAAATCAGTTATGCTTCCTATAAAAAGAGATTGGTGTTCTTATCCAGCTAACCACACTCCTTGGGAAAAAGGGAAGGGACAAAGAGCCCCTTGATTGTTTGAGGGTACTCAGTGGTGGGGGTACTTGGGTCTCCCTCAAAGCCATGCTAAGGATGAGGCTTTGACTCCCTCTCTCTTTCTTGTTAGCGCACAATCCACTGATGACATAGAACACCACTTCAGTGCCCTTTTTACTTCGAGAATCTGTGATTTAAAAAAAAAAATCCCCATCAAATGGGAGCAACTTTGCAAATGGCACCTTGGTCTGTACTTAAGAGGCTGTGGATCACAAGAACACGAATGCAAAGAAAGGGACTCTTTCTTGTTCAGGAGTTGATGGGAAGGCCTATGGGTTTTCCAAGTCACTTATTTCCCTCCCTCCTCCTCCCACTGCCTTCTCCTCCACCCCCTTCAGGCCTCATTACAAAGATAGGGAGGCTCTGGGCCTGGGAAGGGACAGGAAAGAGAGTTCTGGGAGATTACATGTAGACTTAGCAAACCCCTCCCTTTTTACCAGGTTTCATGGGCTGTTAACTGTCGAGGGGCACACTTTCCAGCACCACCTGGCACCAGCGATGCCTTTCTGGAGCGTGCTGGCAGGCTGTGGAGGAGGGAGTCAGGGAAGGAGCTCGGCCAGCTCATTTCTCACCCTCTCCTCTGGCCAGAACCATCCGCACATCCCCTCGGACTGGACATCCCAGCGGGGCTTACCGTGTGGGGGCGTGGGAAACAGCTCACTTTCCCAAGCCACCAGATGCTGGCAGTTATCAGCCTCTAGTGGGAAGCGATCACACGGAGGCCACATACAAACAACTTAGTTTTTAAAAAGCTGTTTTCCAGTGAAATTCAAGTCAGTCCAACAATTCTGAAAACACTCCCAGTGTCTTTTATTCTTTAGAATCTGGGCACAGAACTGTTTCTATTATCACAAGGAATGCTTGGGGAATCAAATTTTTAGACAACAATCAAGAAGCACTGCAACTGCTTTGGACACAGACCACATAACCCCCATTAGTATTAGTACTGGAAAATTATTTTTCAGCCCTTTCTTCATGGCACAGTCAACTCAATTGTTAGTGATAATGAAAGATGACATCTGAGATCAATTTCATTTACAGAACACCCAGACGTTTTCTTTGATTCTTAGCTTTAAACTTCTCCTCCATGAGTGTTTCTGTCTTTTTTTGTTTGAGAAATACCAACCGATGGCTGACTTGAACAATACTTTCTTACGTTTGGGTGCCCATCTCACCATACAGATCTGTGGAGCATGTGATGTTCCCATCGTTTTGTTCCTTTTTCTCCATCTTCTTAAAGTTGAGCAAGTCCATAGAAGAACTGGGAGCAGAAAGGGAAAGGCCCCTAAAGTATTTAGGAAGGCAGGAGGATGGATTCGGGTACTACATACAACTGCTAAGGGGACTGGAGTGGGGTCCATTGAGAGATTCATGCCAGGCGCCTAGTTGCTTAGAACAGGAAACTAGGGAGTTGGTCTTGATTCCTTCCCCTTTCTCACCCATGCCCCATGTATTCCACCTCTGAGGTCCCTGGCACTTTCTCCATCTCTACCACCAGCAGCACCCTCTCCCCTGCCCATGCAGTCATGTGACTGGCTCACTCCCACCCTCCAGGGCACAGTGAAATATGGCCTCTAGGAGAGCCTCCTCCATCTGTCCAGTGTCAACTCCTCCTGCTGACCCCTCTTTTTCCCTCCCCTCACTCCCTGACCCCCATTTCTGTCCATGTTTCCTGTTTGTTTCCTTCCAAGTGCAGACCATAATGTGTAATGACCTTATTTGTCTGCTGGCTCTTGCTACTTTCCCCACGAGGAGGTATGTCCCTTCAAAAGCTGTGACCATGTCCACCTTGGTCACTGCCATAGCCGCAAAGCTTACACACCACCTGACGTGCTATTCCCTTCCCTCCCTGACTTCCTCCAGAAATCAGGGTAGGGAGGTTCAGACAGAATAAGGTCCAGAAACCAAAGCTGTTTTCGAAATAGAGCCTGACTGTGTGTGAGTTCCGTTTGTGAGCTGTATGAAGAATTGTAGCACTGTGTGTTGCCCTGGTCCTTCCCTCTAGAATGCCACACCGGTTACTAAAACAAAGTAAATACGAACTGATAACTTTAATCAAGCAAGTCTCCAGATCTAACCAATGGTTAACAGGAAATACAGGAGACAGAAGAACATGTTCCATGATACTATAGGGACATGATCAGCAATATCCAAAACATGGGACACTGTGAAGGACAAATAGCCAGTTTCTTCAACAAATACACTTCAAGAGAAAAGGTGGGGGGGAATTTGTAGATTTGAGAAGTCCTAAGAAACATTATCTGCCAGATCTGGATCCAGGATCAGACTGGATCCAACTTAAGCTGGACTCAGTCCAGCATGAGGCCTTGGGTGAATAAAATTTTGTTTTAAGGCTGAACAAACACATTAACCTTAACAAGATAATCTTGAAATACAGTGGCCACAACGGAGAACTTTTAACCTAGATAAGCTTATACGCTTATGAGGTATCCTAGAAAAAAAAAGAGTCTCAGCCAAGCACTCACCATAAAAAGTAGAGTGAAAATTATTTTTCCTGCTCTACAGCTTCTGGTGACCAGGATATGACCTGCCAGGACACCCTACTTGCTCCAGAGCATGCAGATGGGCTCCTGGGAAAACTGGCAAAAGCCAGCAATGGGTGAGAATTCGCGCCAAAGTCAGCTCTCCTAGATCTCTATCTGCAGAGCCTGGTTAAGAGAGGAAAGTCAAATTTCATGTTGTCCCTTCCTTTCCAAATTCAGATTGGCAGGCAAAAACATTTGTAACAATTAGGTCTTTGAATTGTGACCTGTGAATTTTACTTTTGGGTACCCATTGGTTGTTGATTCTTTCTCTCCAGGGGACAGCTACTGCTCTCTTATTTATCTGGTTTAGTGTCAGAATGGGGGGGGTGGGCAAAATTTGGCCAGGCAGAGATGTGTGCTGCCTTCCACTTGCGGCTAGGGTCCTATCAACTATTGCCAACTCGCAGGAGAATTGTCTAAGTCTTTCTTTCTTTTGGTTATCTTTGGGAGTGGCTAGGGGATTATCTTGGGCAGGTGGTATCCTTTGCACCCTCTTTGGGGATGCCTCTTGCATCCAAGGGGTTGGATGCAATACTGCCAGGAATATTAATGTTCTGCCAGCTGAAACCTGATGAGATATCTGAAAGGATTTTTTTAAGTAGCTCTATGGTCAGAAGTTGACCAAATCAGAAGTTGATATTCAGAGATGATAGGAATATGTCTTTCCTATCTCACCTAAGATAGGCTTTCTCACCTAAGATAAAATGAAACTATTCACCCAGAGGAAAAGAAAAACATTCTAAAGTCTTTTGTGTAAGGATTTACTAAAATATTCTGAAGACATCTAGCACTAAATCTAGAACATAAGTATCTTTTGATTTCCATCTTTGTGGAAGATCGCTCCCTGGTATAAAGAAGCAAATTGAAGATTTGCCATTTAGATGGGCAGTTCAGCCCCCTCAGTATCTTTAAGGCTACATCTCAATTGTTTGCAGAATTAAGAGCAACTGTCCTTATCTTACAAATCTTTGCAAAACCAGAAATACAGCTCTAGAAACAATTGAAAGTCTACCTATTTTTACCAACCCCCAAAGCTCCCTTATCCATCTCAGAACGCTTGCAGATATTGTGAAAGATCAGGACTTTTGAAACAGAACTGCTTTGAAGAAAATGAAGGAAACATTTAAACAGCAACTCCCAGAGACTTCTGATAACAGACTAATACACTCTAAAACTCCTAGAAAAAAAAAAACTTGCCTTCTTTCTTTGTCCCTAGAAGATGTCAATTTTACCCTGCCTTTGAAATGTAAACATCCCAAGGGGTAAATAAAACACAGCCCACAGTCACCTGAAACTGAAAGAAAAAAGATGAGGGAGGTGGAGAATTTTCAAAATATTAACAGTTTAAAAAGCTCCCTCCCCACACATCTAGTCCACAACCTCCATAAAATCACTGTCAAGAAC